TGCTAGCTGGTTCTCTCTGATTCCCAAATGGTCTCTGCTAGCTGGCCCTCTCTTCTTCCCAAATGGTCTCTGCTAGCTGGCCCTCTCTTCTTCCCAAATGGTCTCTGCTAGCTGGCCCCCTCTTCTTCCCAAATGGTCTCTGCTAGCTGGCCCTCTCTTCTTCCCAAATGGTCTCTGCTAGCTGGCCCTCTCTTCTTCCCAAATGGTCTCTGCTAGCTGGCCCTCTCTTCTTCCCAAATGGTCTCTGCTAGCTGGCCCTCTCTTCTTCCCAAATGGTCTCTGCTAGCTGGCCCTCTCTTCTTCCCAAATGGTCTCTGCTAGCTGGTTCTCTCTGATTCCCAAATGGTCTCTGCTAGCTGGCCCTCTCTTCTTCCCAAATGGTCTCTGCTAGCTGGTTCTCTCTGATTCCCAAATGGTCTCTGCTAGCTGGCCCTCTCTTCTTCCCAAATGGTCTCTGCTAGCTGGCCCTCTCTTCTTCCCAAATGGTCTCTGCTAGCTGGCCCTCTCTTCTTCCCAAATGGTCTCTGCTAGCTGGCCCTCTCTTCTTCCCAAATGGTCTCTGCTAGCTGGTTCTCTCTGATTCCCAAATGGTCTCTGCTAGCTGGCCCTCTCTTCTTCCCAAATGGTCTCTGCTAGCTGGCCCTCTCTCCTTCCCAAATGGTCTCTGCTAGCTGGCCCTCTCTTCTTCCCAAATGGTCTCTGCTAGCTGGCCCTCTCTTCTTCCGAAATGCTCTCTGCTAGCTGGCCCTCTCTCCTTCCGGAAATGCTCTCTGCTAGCTGGCCCTCTCTCCTTCCCAAATGGTCTCTGCTAGCTGGCCCTCTCTCCTTCCCAAATGGTCTCTGCTAGCTGGCCCTCTCTCCTTCCCAAATGGTCTCTGCTAGCTGGCCCTCTCTCCTTCCCAAATGGTCTCTGCTAGCTGGCCCTCTCTTCTTCCCAAATGGTCTCTGCTAGCTGGCCCTCTCTCCTTCCCAAATGGTCTCTGCTAGCTGGCCCTCTCTCCTTCCCAAATGGTCTCTGCTAGCTGGCCCTCTCTCCTTCCCAAATGGTCTCTGCTAGCTGGCCCTCTCTCCTTCCCAAATGGTCTCTGCTAGCTGGCCCTCTCTCCTTCCCAAATGGTCTCTGCTAGCTGGCCCCTCTCTCCTTCCCAAATGGTCTCTGCTAGCTGGCCCTCTCTCCTTCCCAAATGGTCTCTGCTAGCTGGCCCTCTCTGATTCCCAAATGGTCTCTGCTAGCTGGCCCTCTCTGATTCCCAAATGGTCTCTGCTAGCTGGCCCTCTCTCCTTCCCAAATGGTCTCTGCTAGCTGGCCCTCTCTCCTTCCCAAATGGTCTCTGCTAGCTGGCCCTCTCTCCTTCCAAAATGGTCTCTGCTAGCTGGCCCTCTCTTCTTCCCAAATGGTCTCTGCTAGCTGGCCCTCTCTCCTTCCCAAATGGTCTCTGCTAGCTGGCCCTCTCTTCTTCCCAAATGGTCTCTGCTAGCTGGCCCTCTCTTCTTCCGAAATGCTCTCTGCTAGCTGGCCCTCTCTCCTTCCCAAATGGTCTCTGCTAGCTGGCCCTCTCTCCTTCCCAAATGGTCTCTGCTAGCTGGCCCTCTCTCCTTCCCAAATGGTCTCTGCTAGCTGGCCCTCTCTGATTCCCAAATGGTCTCTGCTAGCTGGCCCTCTCTCCTTCCCAAATGGTCTCTGCTAGCTGGCCCTCTCTCCTTCCCAAATGGTCTCTGCTAGCTGGCCCTCTCTGATTCCCAAATGGTCTCTGCTAGCTGGCCCTCTCTCCTTCCCAAATGGTCTCTGCTAGCTGGCCCTCTCTCCTTCCCAAATGGTCTCTGCTAGCTGGCCCCTCTCTCCTTCCCAAATGGTCTCTGCTAGCTGGCCCTCTCTGATTCCCAAATGGTCTCTGCTAGCTGGCCCTCTCTCCTTCCCAAATGGTCTCTGCTAGCTGGCCCTCTCTCCTTCCCAAATGGTCTCTGCTAGCTGGCCCTCTCTCCTTCCCAAATGGTCTCTGCTAGCTGGCCCTCTCTCCTTCCCAAATGCTCTCTGCTAGCTGGCCCTCTCTCCTTCCCAAATGGTCTCTGCTAGCTGGCCCTCTCTCCTTCCCAAATGGTCTCTGCTAGCTGGCCCTCTCTGATTCCCAAATGGTCTCTGCTAGCTGGCCCTCTCTGATTCCCAAATGGTCTCTGCTAGCTGGCCCTCTCTCCTTCCCAAATGGTCTCTGCTAGCTGGCCCTCTCTGATTCCCAAATGGTCTCTGCTAGCTGGCCCTCTCTGATTCCCAAATGGTCTCTGCTAGCTGGCCTTCTCTGATTCCCAAATGGTCTCTGCTAGCTGGCCCTCTCTCCTTCCCAAATGGTCTCTGCTAGCTGGCCCTCTCTGATTCCCAAATGGTCTCTGCTAGCTGGCCCTCTCTGATTCCCAAATGGTCTCTGCTAGCTGGCCCTCTCTGATTCCCAAATGGTCTCTGCTAGCTGGCCCTCTCTGATTCCCAAATGGTCTCTGCTAGCTGGCCCTCTCTCCTTCCCAAATGGTCTCTGCTAGCTGGCCCTCTCTGATTCCCAAATGGTCTCTGCTAGCTGGCCCTCTCTGATTCCCAAATGGTCTCTGCTAGCTGGCCCTCTCTCCTTCCCAAATGGTCTCTGCTAGCTGGACCTCTCTGATTCCCAAATGGTCTCTGCTAGCTGGCCCTCTCTCCTTCCCAAATGGTCTCTGCTAGCTGGCCCTCTCTGATTCACAAATGGTCTCTGCTAGCTGGCCCTCTCTGATTCCCAAATGGTCTCTGCTAGCTGGCCCTCTCTCCTTCCCAAATGGTCTCTGCTAGCTGGCCCTCTCTGATTCCCAAATGGTCTCTGCTAGCTGGCCCTCTCTGATTCCCAAATGGTCTCTGCTAGCTGGCCCTCTCTCCTTCCCAAATGGTCTCTGCTAGCTGGACCTCTCTGATTCCCAAATGGTCTCTGCTAGCTGGCCCTCTCTCCTTCCCAAATGGTCTCTGCTAGCTGGCCCTCTCTGATTCACAAATGGTCTCTGCTAGCTGGCCCTCTCTGATTCCCAAATGGTCTCTGCTAGCTGGCCCTCTCTCCTTCCCAAATGGTCTCTGCTAGCTGGCCCTCTCTCCTTCCCAAATGGTCTCTGCTAGCTGGCCCTCTCTCCTTCCCAAATGGTCTCTGCTAGCTGGCCCCCTCTCCTTCCCAAATGGTCTCTGCTAGCTGGCCCTCTCTCCTTCCCAAATGGTCTCTGCTAGCTGGCCCTCTCTGATTCCCAAATGGTCTCTGCTAGCTGGCCCTCTCTGATTCCCAAATGGTCTCTGCTAGCTGGCCCTCTCTGATTCCCAAATGGTCTCTGCTAGCTGGCCCTCTCTCCTTCCCAAATGGTCTCTGCTAGCTGGCCCTCTCTGATTCCCAAATGCTCTCTGCTAGCTGGCCCTCTCTCCTTCCCAAATGGTCTCTGCTAGCTGGCCCTCTCTGATTCCCAAATGGTCTCTGCTAGCTGGCCCTCTCTCCTTCCCAAATGGTCTCTGCTAGCTGGCCCTCTCTCCTTCCCAAATGGTCTCTGCTAGCTGGCCCTCTCTCCTTCCCAAATGGTCTCTGCTAGCTGGCCCTCTCTCCTTCCCAAATGGTCTCTGCTAGCTGGACCTCTCTCCTTCCCAAATGGTCTCTGCTAGCTGGCCCTCTCTGATTCCCAAATGCTCTCTGCTAGCTGGCCCTCTCTCCTTCCCAAATGGTCTCTGCTAGCTGGCCCTCTCTGATTCCCAAATGGTCTCTGCTAGCTGGCCCTCTCTCCTTCCCAAATGGTCTCTGCTAGCTGGCCCTCTCTCCTTCCCAAATGGTCTCTGCTAGCTGGCCCTCTCTCCTTCCCAAATGGTCTCTACTAGGTGGCCCTCTCTCCTTCCCAAATGGTCTCTGCTAGCTGGACCTCTCTCCTTCCCAAATGGTCTCTGCTAGCTGGCCCTCTCTCCTTCCGAAATGGTCTCTGCTAGCTGGCCCTCTCTCCTTCCCAAATGGTCTCTGCTAGCTGGCCCTCTCTCCTTCCCAAATGGTCTCTGCTAGCTGGCCCTCTCTGATTCCCAAATGGTCTCTGCTAGCTGGCCCTCTCTGATTCCCAAATGGTCTCTGCTAGCTGGCCTTCTCTGATTCCCAAATGGTCTCTGCTAGCTGGCCCTCTCTCCTTCCCAAATGGTCTCTGCTAGCTGGCCCTCTCTGATTCCCAAATGGTCTCTGCTAGCTGGCCCTCTCTGATTCCCAAATGGTCTCTGCTAGCTGGCCCTCTCTCCTTCCCAAATGGTCTCTGCTAGCTGGCCCTCTCTCCTTCCCAAATGGTCTCTGCTAGCTGGCCCTCTCTGATTCCCAAATGGTCTCTGCTAGCTGGCCCTCTCTGATTCCCAAATGGTCTCTGCTAGCTGGTTCTCTCTGATTCCCAAATGGTCTCTGCTAGCTGGCCCTCTCTGATTCCCAAATGGTCTCTGCTAGCTGGCCCTCTCTGATTCCCAAATGGTCTCTGCTAGCTGGCTCTCTCTGATTCCCAAATGGTCTCTGCTAGCTGGCCCTCTCTGATTCCCAAATGGTCTCTGCTAGCTGGCCCTCTCTCCTTCCCAAATGGTCTCGGCTAGCTGGCCCTCCCTCCTTCCCAAATGGTCTCTGCTAGCTGGCCTTCTCTGATTCCCAAATGGTTTCTGCTAGCTGGCCCTCTCTCCTTCCCAAATGGTCTCTGCTAGCTGGCCCTTCGTCCTTCCCAAATGGTCTCTGCTAGCTGGCCCTCTCTCCTTCCCAAATGGTCTCTGCTAGCCGGCTCTCTCTGATTCCCAAATGGTTCTTCTATTACGCGCTTGAATTCTGCACTTCTTGTTGCTGCTTCTGTTTATTCCGTCTTTTCGGCAATAACTTCAACTCAAACTCTAATAAATAGATTTATATGAGACATTAATAGGAATGATAGAATCAGTAACGAAAAAAGACAGATACACCCACAAAACACAATTCCCAGAACATCAATACGTCAGCCTATAAAATTCATCAATCGGTCGATGATGATGCCGACGATTGACCATCGTCGGCAGACGGCAGTTTGGAACGGAATCCCTTCGCCACCCACTCCTCAAATTGGCACCAGTTGCAGGGTCCTGTAAAAAATGGATAGAGAGCCGCTCCCGGACTTGGACTTTTTTTCTTAGGATCAAATTTAATCAACTCCTTTTAGGATCGAATTTTTGAAATACAAATATTGGAAATGTTCCTAACTGGTTTCTAATAGGAAATCGGTTGAAATTGCCTGTCCTTTTAAAATGAAACCCACGTCCTGCACTACAATATGGTGTCGAGCAGCCCGGCGACTTTTTGGCTCGGATCGATAGGCGACTGTAAAGGTAAAATGTGCTTCAGGAAAAATTAGGGGCTACGGGTTACGTTACCCACCCCCACCCCCCGCCCCCACCAGGGAAGTGCAAATATGGGTCCTGGCAAATGGCTTAGCACCAATTTGTGGATCATTCTATATGAAACAGATAAGGTTGCCGACGGGGATTCTGAATATCTGGTCAGAATGTGCTAAACGATAAATACAAAAAATTTATGAGCATTTAAAGTTCTGTCGTCATTTTCACCCCCCCCCCCTCCCTTATGATGCTCTTCGATAGAGGCAGTGCCTCTATCGAAGTCAATCTCTCAATCCAGAGGTCACTGGTTCGAATTCCCGGCCATGCACAGTTTTTACTTTTTGAACTTAGGCAGCTATTTATTTATAAATTATTTAATAGGCTAAATGGGTGCTGTTGGCGAACTGTGAACCCAAACGTACATGCCGAAAATATATAAGGTAGGAAAACTCGTAGTCCCCCCCCGGTATACTATGTAAAAGGTGTCCCAAAAACGAACCACGCCGTGTTACAGCTGATCGGGCCCAAAATTGGACCAGAGGTGTATCAGACCCTAAATAACAACAATCCTGTCTTATGGCTCAAAAGCTACAGTCGTTTTTTTTAGAGTTATAACGAAAATACTGTTTTTGTTTCTTTCTATCCTAAACAGCTTTTTGCGCTCTCTTCTTGGACTTTGCAACCATTTTCAGCGTCTTCCGGTTGCGGATCCCTAATTTCGCTTAAAGGGATGCCGACGGCATAGTCAATCGGTTCCGCGCTGGATAGAAAATGTCTCTGCGTCTCGCCCCAGGGCGCGCATTCTGCCCTGTTGGCTTCTTGCCAATTTGTTGAGGGGGGGGGGATCGACACATGCCGTCGGCGGCCCCTTAAAAACCTGGGTAATTTTGCGTTGTCAAATTGCTTAAATCGAAGCTTATTTGATAAAGTCCGGACAAAATATCTTTGTGTGAAGAAGGTCTACCGAATCATTTTCATTTAATGTTTAGCGGGGCTAATTCGACGGCATACCTATGAAACATAGAAAATAAAGTTTATTTTTGCTATAACTCGTGAACTATTATAGCTACGAGGCTAAAAGTCAGGCTTGTTGTTATTTAGGGTCTGATATGATCTGCTCCAAATTTGGGGCGGATTGGATGTCACACGTCAAAATGCCAGATGGTTCGCTTCTTTTGGGACACTCTGTCTGTCTACCGGGAAATCAAAAAAAGAAAAGTGACAAACCTAAATATTTTAACACAATCCGCACATGCAGGCGCACTGTAGTAGGTGGAAACCGGCTTCTTTCCTTCTTCCCGCGGGCATACTGTGCACCACCCATCCTAGATGAGCTTTAGGGCGCCACGCATTCTAACTCACTCGGTATTCCTTGGGTCGGCCCCGTTTCTTCTTGGGCACCTGAAATGATAGACCTATCATTAAATTGACATTTACATTCAATTTACAGAATGCCGATTTTCATAATGCTGACTATTATAACGCCGATTTTACATAATCTTTAGCGGGGATTTTACATAGTACCAATTTTGGCTATTTTATTTCATCTGAAAGAAGAAATTAAGATCAGTTTTTCGGTTTTTATGTAGACATTGGTGGGCAGTCATATTTTCGAAACCCATATTTTCGAAACACATATTTTCGAAACTCATATTTTCCTAGGTTTTCTTTGGTTACCTATGCCTATCCAGAGCTTTAAATATGATTTATGACTTGTGTTATGTCGAAAATATGAGTTTCGAAAATATGAGTTTCCAAAATATGAACGCAGATCCAAAAACACCGAACGTATGATGGGAGAGTTAGGCTGTCTATTCTTTTCTTTGCATATCTAAAAGGATCGTGATTCCAAGTAGCTTTTATATTTTTTTTATTTTTATAAAACGAAATTAAAAACTATCGAAACCGCTAATACAGTTGATTATTGAGAGCCTAGACTGCATGTGAAAAAATTGGGGCTAACTATGAATTTCAGCCACACGAAAAAAGCGCCAAAATCATTATCATAGGGATCTAGGGGTAACAGGGAGCCTATTTTACTGCACTCATTTGCATACGACACATTAAAAGGCTCATTTCGGACCTTGTCGCGCCCGCAACTGGTCGCTTTTTGTTATTATTAGGGTGGTGGAGATTGGCAGTAATGGCGCGAAATACACGTTTGAAGGCAAATTTCTAGATAAAATTTTCGGTTCTTTCGCATTATCGGGGGGTATCGGGGGTGGGAGAACGACAACTTTTAAAATAGCAATAGCGGAAGTGTTTCTAAACTGTTTTTTTGCTATCCCTAAGCGTAAAAATTTTACAAACTTTTATTAAAAATGCGAAAAAATATATTTTTCGACCAAGGCTGTTTTTTTGATTGACCAAAAGGACCAATTCCTAAGCATTTTATTTATTTTATCATGTTTGTTTCGAGCTAAAAACTAGGTGAAATGCTAGAAGAATGGTTTATATTTTGTGATAGAGTCGTGGAGAAGCACAGGGAAAAATTTGGTTTCCCCTCCCGCTAACCCGCCCCCCCGCTAACAGTCCGGAAGCAACTACTCTCATTTTTTGGGCCCTTTCGACGTTTCCTTTATTTTCAATGTTTCCTGTATGTTTTTCGATATACAATCGTGGATAAATCAATATATTTTATTCCCGTAAAAGCATCGTATGGTAAATGGGCAATGGGGATTGGTGGGCGGCAAGTATTAATTCGGCACTCTTAGGACTTGGGCACCTCCCGGATGGCGGCGGTGGCGGCTTTAATCTCCCGGACGGCGGCTTGCAGATCAATATCTTCATCATCTTCGGGCAGGACACGTTGGATGAGAAATTCATTCTAAAACGTCAGCATGATATTATCGGGCGTGGAAAAGACATAAAAACAATTTATATTTGGTTATAGGGACTTAGAGAATCACTCGGAAAAACTTTGGGTCCCCCCGCTAACAGCCCAAAACCAAAGCCTTCTTACCGGCGGCGGCTCGGTGACGGTAGCCATTGTCGCGTGAAAGTTTTCGGCGGTGAGTTGGAGGTGGGTCTTGCCGTCATTAAGCCGCGTGATGATGATTCCTTGGTTCGACTCCCACTGAGCGAGGCCGCGGAGCACCTAAATATCTGGTAGAAGAAGGGGGAAATAGAGGCTTACAACATAATTTGAAAAATTGAAACCAAGGTTGAAAAAACGCTTAGCGGCTTTTCAACCCCGACTCCGCCTAGGATCTACGAAGATACCAGCCGTTTGCAGCGGCTGGACTTGGGGCTACCCCCTGCGCTCCCCCCTCTCGCCGAAACGCGCGTGACCTGGCTCACTGTGCCCATTCATTGATCATTCGTTGTTTTTTTTCATTCGTGCGCGAAAACCCTACCAGCTCTTCGATTTTGGAGGTGAGCGACTCCCGCGCCGCCCGGGCATCCATGTAGGGCTGCTTGTAGCGCTGGGTCCCGTCGCGCCGGTAGGCGGTCAGCCACTGCAAAAACGCTTGTTTTCATTTTGTCCACATTCCATTTTTTCGAAACATCAATTGCAAATTGCAATTGCAGCGCATACACTTTTTCACGCAGTTTGTTTCCTTTTAAATTTCGACAAGATGCAATTTCAAAAACCATTTCCGACAAACTGATAGCAAACTGCTTGGGCGTATGTTGAAACTCAATTTTCTGGTTGTTTAGGATTCGCGGGGGGAGGGGGGAAGCCTAAGCCTAAAATTTTTTTTTGATAAATAGCGGATGCGTGTCTACAGATCGTGTCTTTTAGCTACTCCTAAGCATGAAAATTTTAAATTTTAATTTTAAATTTTAATTTAATTGATGTTTTCGAGCCAAAATGACCAAATTTTCGACTTTTTAAAACACCATTTTACTTTTTTTGAAAGGATTCTACTTTAAATATAGTTAAAACTTACTAAAGGCAAGGTAAGCACTTTAGTTTCGATGACTAGGCCCTCCCGCGAATCCTAACGGACCAATTTTCTAAGGTCGATAATTGATTTTAAAATTAAATAAATAAAACAAACCGCCTCCAGTTTGATCGGATCCCTCAGATCCCTCGAATACTTCTCTTCGGCTCTCTGGACCAGCGCTTTATACGACTCCGGATTTTGGTAGTAGCTCAGGATGGGCAGGGTGAAGAGCTGGAAGAGGGAGCCGGGGTTTCATCGTAAGATCGAGTCGCCAGTGCTCATAAGGCATAAAAATACTGGTGCTAATGCAGGGGTCATTTAAGGGTTAGCTTAGCGCTAAACTTCGCTTGGTTTAGGTTATTGGTTAGTTAGGTTAGTTCGTTTGTATGCAGCTAAGCCTGGGCCATTTCCCCTTGAAACCCGTTCCGCCTAAACCCCATGTCGCCTAAGCCCATTTCTCGCAAATTGTTGGCCATTTTCTTAGATGAATTTTTGACCAAAAAGCCGGAATTTTCGAAATTTTTATAAGCGCTTCATATACTTTTAAAGATAGTTCTCGAAATTCTCCAATAAAACCCATGCAATCAGCTACAAAACGTGATTTTTACATGGTATTTCTAGCAGCATGTTTATATTATAGTATAATAAAACACTTGTATGCATTTCCAAAAGCGTGATTTCTGCTCAAAAATGCAGCAATCCCCAACTGTCAAAACTACGAAACTAATTTAGGCGAAACGGGTTTTAGGCGAAATGGGTTTTGTGCGAAACGGGTTTTAGGCGAAATGGGTTTTGTGCGAAACGGGTTTTAGGCGAAATGGGTTTGTGCGAAACGGGTGAGGCAAAGTGGGTTTAGGCGAACCGGCCGTCACCCGGAAAAACCCGCGAATTCCGAAAAAATTGCCCAAAAAATTCCGACATTACGAATTTCGCCATTCGGTTTCCCACTCGATGAATTGTGGCTACACCCTGTTTCTCGCTATATTGCAATTGGAAAAGCAAGCCAAAAACAAAGTAGCTAAAAATTTTTAGCTCGTAATTTGGGCGCAAAATCGAAACAACTTTGTAGAATTCATACGTTTGCGAATAGTAAAAACAATCGTTTGGGAACGAGTTAGATATTGGAAAAATCGGATCCAAAAGGTAAAAAGCTGGTGGAAGACTACCTCGAAATGATTACTGGGGACTGCGCGCATCTGGCCGGTGGACTCGAATTGCTGATCATCGAAGACCTTGATCATCTTGAGCACTTTGGTCTCAGCAGAAGCCATCGAACGGTACCCGCCCTGCAGGCACAATTGCGCGACCATCATCTGCAAAAAAACAAACGCATTTGAAGGCTGGGAGGGACGGTTGTTGTTGTTTTTTACGTTTTTGACGACTCGTTAAAAAATTTGGGACATTTTTTTGGCACGACTCTATTTGCGCGGGGGAGAACCCAGTGCGGGGGGGAGGGTGAGTTGAGGTGAGCAACTTCTTTTTTCTACGGCTATTTTGTAATAAGTAAGCTGAGTTGTAGATTTTTTGACGCTCTTTCGAATGACGTTCGAGAAATTTTGTAAAAAGTTGAAGAGGTTAAATCGCAAAATGTAACTACATAAATGAAACCCAGACTTATCATTGCTATAAAAAATTTCTAACAATTTTTGGTGTAAGAAAACGACTTTTTTATTTATGTTAATTCGACCACGGCGAACATTTGAGATACACGGCGCATTAATAGGACGTATGGCTTAGGAGCTGGGCGTGGAGACCAGATAATTTGGAAAACCAACCTGGTAGACGTACTCCTGGTGAGCGATATTTTCAGCTTCTTGTGCTTTCCCAAGTCGATTGTATAGCGATTGCACCCTTTCGAAGAGGTGAGGCTCCTTCTGTAAAGAAGCGGAATGTATCAGGCCGTCCAGAAAGCCCTTGCGCTTTCTCTACCGGGCATTTTTTTGGAAAGCGCTGTTGATCTAGACGCTGATGCAATATATCATTTTGAATTGCTTTTCATGCTCTACACACAGGCTAAGCTGATCTTGGCTAAAGTCTGGGAAATCCCCCCCCCCCCATAACCGACTTTTCAACTTTTCTATCTTCCTTATTTTGATTTTTCGCTGCTTTTTTCGACTCAAATGCAATGTACAGGGTGTCTCGATAAAGAAGGTCACGCTGGAATTTTGCTATTTCAAATCCGATCGACTTGAAATTTTCAAAAGGCCGTTTGCCAGAGAGCCGAACCAGGCTTGTCACAGTTTTTTTCGACCCCGTTTTTGCGATGCCATGTGAAAGAGCATGGTCGAATTAGTAGGGCTGCCTAGTTTTGAAAGTTTTAAAGTTCATTTTTGGGGTTTAAATGGCCGTTAAAGTTGGCTACCTCGAAAAACCATCTCGAAAACTACCTGACCAAATTTGCTGAAAATTTGTGACAATACCTAATTTGGGGCGGGGATCATTTCTCTAATACATTTCAAAGCATGAAAATGGCCGGAACATTGGAATCTTGCGTACTCAAATGCGTTTTTCAAGAATTTTAATAAAATTCAAGACTATTTAATAGGAAGTCGTCGCCACTCTAGAAACACACTTAAAAGATGCGCAATTAAATTCTACATCCAATGATGCGTTTTCCAACTCGGCGACAGATTCCTATTAAATCAATCAGAATTTCAAAGATGGGCTCAGAATGCGCAAATGATAGTGTTTTCGCAAAGAAACCGGGCGAAAACAGTTTCGCGCAAAAATCGAAAGAGTGGGGGCTCTTGTCCCGCGGCGCCCGCTGGCAATTTGCCAGAAACCAAAGAGGCCTCCCAAAAGGGCTTTGATTTGGCAGTTCAGAGCCCCTTTAAGCCGGGGGGAGTTCTTGGTTCTGGAGTGTTAGCGGTGGGGGGCAGGGTGGATTGCAAATTCTGTTTTTCCACCTCAAAAACTAAGATGTGTCCTCAGACCTGGTTACGATAAATTATGTATTTTTAAAGTGCTGTTAATAGTTTTTGATTCTTGGAAAGCTATAGAAATAATTTTGGAAAATTCAGGAAAATCTAAATTTTTTATTTTTGTGGTCATTTTTGGTCGCCAAAACGTCAAAACCTTTTTCGTCATTTTTTTGTTATTTTATGTTGTTTTTAGATCCAAAAACTATGTAAAACGATAACGGTCCAAAACCGAGTTCTTAACGAAGGCAGAAAATCGGTGTTAATTTCTGTCCCGACTTTCAAGCAGACAAGATCAGGGTAAGAGTCTAGGAAACCCCCTCGCCCCCCCAGCCTTTTGTATATCTTCCCCCCCGCACAGTTTTTCCCCCACTCAAAATAGAACCGAACCAAAGGGAAAATTTCACTTTACGGTAACTAAATAAAATGTCGATTTTTCGACTGGAATCGATAGATCTCGTCGAGTTCTATCATTTCCAGTTGAAAAAACTATTGGGACTCGCTTCTAAAAAAAGTTATAAACATTTTAAATTGGCTAGTTCACTTTACGGTAACTAAATAAAATCTCGATTTTTCGACTGGAATCGATAGATCTCATCGAGTTATCGCGTTTCCCGTTGAAAAAACGATTGGGACCCGCTTTTAACGAAAGTTATACACGTTTTAAAGTGGTTGGTTCACTTTACGGTAACCTCGTAAAAATGCGATTTTTCGCCTGGGATATATAGATCTCATCGAGTTCTTGCATTTACAATTGAAAAACCTTTGGGAAAGTTGTTCGGAGGAGGCTACACTATATTTTTGACATTTGGCTGTGACATTGTCAGGCAAGGCGGGCCGTCGCTTCGGATGGGCTGCCGCTCCACTCTTTCGAAATGGGGGCGCCCCCGGCCGCTTCGCCGGCCTTGGCGCCCCCATTTCGAAACCCTGTACGAGCTCGCGCCCATCCGAAGCGACTAGGCCCCCGGTGGCACGAAGCCTTTTTCTAGTCGCAGAGCGGAGGAAGTAGCGGTCACTTCCATCCAAATTGAGTGACTCCTGTTGCAAAACCGTCTTTTTGATGTTTCAGAAATTCCGAAATTCGGAGGAAGTGCAAAATGTGTGCTAATAAAGTTTTTCCTGTGCCTTTTGCAGCGACCCCCGTATTTGGTACCCCAGTACGTTCACAACTATTACGTTTTTTTCCGTACAAAGGAGTCCCTCGTAGCCGAAACCGACTTTTCCGATGCGGGGTGACTTGGTTTAAAACAGCTATAACTTTTGTTAAAAGCGATTCCCAATCGTTTTTTCAACGGGAAACGCGATAACTCGATGAGATCTATCGATTTCAGTCAAAAATCCGAGATTTTATTTAGTTACCGTAAAGTGAACTAGCCAATTTAAAATGTTTATAACTTTTTTTAGAAGCGAGTCCCAATAGTTTTTTCAACTGGAAATGGTAGAACTCGACGAGATCTATCGATCCCAGTCGAAAAATCGACATTTTATTTAGTTACCGTAAAGTGAAATTTAGCCGAACCAAAAGCAATTCAAAATGATATATTGCATCAAGCGTCTAGATCAAGAGCGCTTTCCAAAAATGCCCGGTAGCAAAAAGCGCAAGGGCTTTCTGGACAGTTTTATCAAAAAAACCTCTCGCCTGCCGGAGAAGCGCCCCATTTTTAAAAATTTAATTTTCTAACCGAAGATCGTTCGCTGAGCTTCGAAATTCAAACTGAGAAAGCGGCCCAGTCTTACCGGGTTTTTGGCGCCTTTTCTAAAGAGGTAGGGTTACTGTTTAGGCCTGTCTATTCAGGAAATGGAACATTTGAGGCGAAACGAAGCGCGGAAAATCAAAAATGCTGGCGCTTGAACCGCAGCTACCTAATTGTCTACCCTTTAAGATCTTGTAACGTGCGAAAAGGACACCCACAATCACCGGTGTTGGAGTAGCCATCAGTATGGCGGGGGAGAGCGGGAGAGAAGATAGAGTACAAAACGGAATACGCAGATTTGACCGCGTCAAAAGATTTTTATACCTAAAGTCTCATGGTAATTAGGCCAAAAGGAGTGCTATTCAAGCTATCGGTATGCAGATCGTGTCAACACAATATGGGTATTCGGATAAACGTTCTCTCTCGCTCTCGCTCTCTCTCTATTTCACTGTCTCTCTTCCTCAGAACACGGGTTAGCAGAGACCAGATTGGGGAAAAACAACAGTCCAGCTAGCAGAGACCATTTGGGAAGGAGAGAAGGCCAGCTAGCAGAGACCATTTGGGAAGGAGAGAGGGCCAGCTAGCAGAGACCATTTGGGAAGGAGAGAGGGCCAGCTAGCAGAGACCATTTAGGAAGGAGAGAGGGTCCGATAGCAGAGACCATTTCGGAGGGAGGTGGGGCCGAACCTGAAGGATAGGCACGGCATAAATATGTTTTTTCGTAAAACAACAATCGCATTCCAAACTTTATCACCGCAATTTGACAAAGGCGGGTACACAGAAATACACATGACATGTATAGCAAAAAAAAGAGAGCGGCGTGGATTTTGGAGCATGGGGCGAAGGTTTTGCGAGGCTCCAAAACGGTCGTATAGTGGCGTAGCGTAGTGGCCTGCCCCCGTCGGCTAGGCCGTCTTCCGGTTCGTGGCGCCTGGCTGTTGCGGCTGCTGAAAAAGGCATGTTTTTAAAAGTTTTTTCTGGCAAGTTTAACACTTTCCGAAACTTTCTGGCTGTGGAATCTCTCCGAGCGAACTTTTTGTTATTCCGTCTGTATCTACCTGTTGACGACATATTAAGTATTTTTATAGTGTTTTTAATAGTTTCTGGTCGCTGGAAAGTTGATTTTAAATTTTTAAATTTATGATTTTAAAAATCTAAGCTATGTAAAATTCTATAAAAATATTGTTTATTTTTGTGGTTCTTTAGGATTTCCGGGGGAAAGTATTTCCGGGGAAACCAAATTTTTTCCTGGTTTTCCCGGTCGACCTAGTAATTAAATAGAAATTGTTTTCACATTGTTTTTAGTAAATTTTCACTATATTTAAAGTAGAAAAACCTTTCAGGAAAGTTAGAAAAATGTTTGAAAAAGTCGAAAATTGGTCATTTTGGGTCTCTCCCCCCCGCTAATCCTAAAGGTTCTATAGGATTTTTCGACCTAAAATTAAATTTTTTAATTAAAATGTGAGTAATTTTTATGCTCAGGAATAGTTAAAAACCATTTAGAAACGCATGCGCTATTTAGAAAAAAATTTAGGCTTGGGCCGAAAAAATTTGGTTTCCCCCGGAAATACTTCCCCCGAAATCCTAAAGAACCATTTTTGTTATTGTTTGTTTGTGGGGCGTACAAAATCACAAGATAAATTTTCATTCCCCCCCGCTAATAGTCCAGAACCACGCAAGAATCAGCAAAAATTTTTACATTGAAAATCATCATTTTTGTGATATTTCTGACACGCCGTTGGGCTAGTTATCCTCTATTTTCCCCAAAATAAAATAGTCCCACATCGTGCTCGCTGGACATCTCGGGACTGGGCTGCTCCGGGTAACCCTGGAAAGGGAAGGGTACTGTAGAATTATCGTAATTATTGTAATTTTTATAATTTTATAATTTTGGAATTTTATAAAATTATGATAATTAAAATTACGGGCCAAAATGAATAAAATAAACATACAGCCTTGGCGAGGCGCTCGTCGCTCTCGCCGTCGCTTTGCTGCTGCTGGGCGAGCAGGCCTTGGCGGCGCTGAACAAAAAATGGAATCTACGGGTACGGTAGGCATAAAAATACGATAGGTACTGTAGCAATTTTAATTCTAAGAAGTTTTTGTTAAACAGCGGTCCTCGTGCATTATCGGGGGGATATTATTTTCTTAGGCTTTTTTAAACTATTAAAACACTTGCTATTAAGTTATTAGGCATTTCTAGCCTTATAAACCCCCCCCCCCGATAATGTAAAAGCACCGCTACAGTGGCTCGGCATAAGGTAGATCCGTGTAATCGTTTTCGAAGATGCTCCCGAAAGCTACCGTACCCGGCGGGCGTACAGCTCGCGCCCGCTGCGCCTCCTCCGCCACCAGTCGATGATCTGGGGCACGTGGCGCACAAAGTAGATGATCACGAAGAACGCCACCGCCAGCCCGTACACTAGGATTTTCCGGTTCTGGACTGTTAGCGGGGGGGGGAGGATACGAAATCCTCGGTAATAATTCCGTAAACTCTTATAACAAAATATAAGCCATTTTATAGCAAATTTTATGAAAAACGACGAACAAAAAGCAACATCTTTTTACTTGAAAATCTTGAAAATTATTTTTACAAATTTTATTTAATTTTAAGATTAAATACTTAATTTTATGAGTCTCAAATCTTTAACTTAAAATCTATATATTTATATTTAATAGATTCTATGACTTTTTTTGTATTCTCAAAAAGCTAAAAATATTTGTGGGAACTTTTTAGCGTACAGCAAGTACGAAACGTTATAGAAATACACTATTCATTATTAACAGTTCGGTGCAGACGAAAAATAAAACAAAAATTAGTTTCTGCCCCCCTGCTAACAGTCCAGTACCGTTTTGTAGAGCCTTAAAAATATATAAATTTGATTTCTCACGCTGATAACGGCCCATGTCGCCCACTACGTCGTTGCTTGCAGAAAGCATCCGCTTTTGGGGGAACCTGAAAAAAAATGCGTTTTGTTGCCTAACTTTAAGCGACATGTTTATGATACTATCTATTCAAAGGTAAAGCTCAATACTACAATTGTGCTACCGTAACCCCCTTACAGTGCATCCAATGGCCGTCGGCCGATGGTGTATTCGGCAAATTTGACGGCCGAGTACCAATCATCCTCATAGTAGACCGGGTGCCCGAAGAACCGATCGCAGCCGGATTCCTGAAACAAATGAAAAGTATTATTTGAGATAAAAAATGGCTTAAAGCGCACGTTCAGGGAGGGGCCGTGTACTCGTCCCAACGTGTACACCCTATGGACGTTGGGACCGCGCGCGCTGCCTGCCCGTGTCGTGGGAAGCCATTCCCCTCCTTTCCGGGGTGGGGCGCTCCTCGGCCCCTCGCCAGGTTGTAACTGTGGCTGACTGATATGCATCCGCGCCTCCCGAGTGGGGGGCCCGGGTTCGACCCCCGCTTCTTTGCTTTTTTTCCAAAAAAACGTCCCTGCGTGTGCCCTTTAAAGCGCACGTTCAGGGAGGGGCCGTGTACTCGTCCCAACGTGTACACCCTATGGACGTTGGGACCGCGCGCGCTGCCTGCCCGTGCTGTGACAGGCCATTCCCCTCCTTTCCGGGGTGGGGCGACCCTCGCCTCCTCGTCAGGTTGTAGCTGTGACTGACTGGTATCCATCCGCGCCTCCCGAGCGGGGGCTCGGGTTCGACCCCCGGCCGCGGCGCGGCAAAAATCTTTGCTTTTTTCCAAAAAAACGTCCCTGCGCGTGCCCTTTAAGTGCAGTTTGCCCCCCAGCCGGCACCCACCTACCGTATCTCGGCGCCCTGTTCATCTACAGGTGTGTAAAGTATACCAAAATGTTCGTCTTGCTCTGGCGAGTATTTTGGTAGACTTTACACACCTGTAGATGAACAGGAAGTCGAGCTACAGAAGTCCTGCGCCGGATGGGGGGGGAGGTAGACCGCACTCCTTTTGTTACACTTTTTGTTCAAAATCCATGAAAAATGTTTATCAAAATACAAGCAACAATAATTTAAGCGCATTATTATTGTTGAGTAGATGATTAAAATTTAGTGTTTAAAATAAATTTTTAAAAATGCTTGTTGTTTTGAAAACCCGCACCATTCGCTGGAGAATGACGGTCCCGTCGTAAATGGCGGCGAACTCGTGGGTGAGGGCGATGGCGCTGTAGTAGGCCGGCACCGGCTGCACGTTCACGCTGCAAGAAAAAAACAAGAAATAAAAAACCAAAGGAAACGTGTTGCCTTCCTTTTTCAAGCTATAAAATCTGCGTTACATTTTTGTGCGATTGGCGTCCATCAGCAGCTCGTACAAGTCGATGACGCGCACACTGTTCGCCGACCACGCCACGTCATCACGGTTCGACGCGTACAGGTAGGTACGCTGCATAAATGCGTATTATTAGGTGTTACTAAGATTTACGACGGGAAAGAGAACGAGAGAGGGAGAGAGAGAGAGGAGAGGGAGAGAGAGAGGGAGAGAGAGAGAGAGAGAGATAGAGAGGGAGGGGGAGAGAGGGGGAGAGAGGGAGCGAAAGAGAGTGAGAGAGATAGGGAATTATGTAGAGAGAGCGAGAGAGAGTGAGACAGATAAGATATAGATACAGTGAGAGCGAGAAAGAGAGCGAGCGAGAGTGCGAGATAGGGAGCGAACGAGAGTGAGAGCGACAGAGAGATAGGTAGAGAGAGAGAGAGAGAGAGAGAGAGAGAGAGAGAGAGAGAAAGAGTGAGAGCGTCTGAGTGCGTGAGAGAGCGAGGGAGAGAGAGCGAGAGACAGCTGGAGAAATTACGAGAGAGAGAGCGTGTGAGTGCGAGAGAGACACAAACCCACCCCATGTTTCACTAACAAATTAGCCTTGGCGCGATACTTGTTCGGGAACAGCTCGTCCGGCATTTGGAGCATGTAGTAAAACTGCAAAGAAAAAGATATTGTTACGAACAGAGAGCGAGAGAGAGCGAGAGAGCGAAAGATAGAGATACGCTACATCGACGTTGGGCACAGTTTTTCCTGGCCTGACGGACACGCGCATCTGATAGAGATGGATGTGGCCCTTGTCTCGCCCGAGCACCAGCACCGCATCCTCCACCTAAAAAGCATTTTCCAAAATTGAAAAATACCACGTTTCATCAATTTTGATACTACCCCAAAAATTTTGAGCGCCGTTCACTCAAGAAATGAACAGAATCTGTTTTAATCATTTTTCTCCCTCTTTCAATTTCGCATATTTTGAATGTATTAATTCGTGAATTGAAGCTAAACACTATCGATATATTTTCGCATCACAAACCTGGAAGACGTCGGTGATGTCGATACTGGGGTGGCGGCAACGTTTCTCCTCGATTGCTTCCTAAAAACGAGGTTTATCGGGATTTTCTCTGTCAGTCGTATGGCGTTTTTGCGTGTCGGGATTGTGGCTGGCGGGTTTATCGCTGTCGGCATTTCCCTTGACTGGCTTCCGGCTGTCGGGATTTGGGCTTTCCCGAATTGGACTGTCGATATTTTAGCAATTCGGGAATTTGGCTGTTGAGATTTTGGTTCTCGATGGCAGAGCTGTCGGGATTTGGGCTTTCGGGGTTATCACTGTCGGCATTTTGCTTGTCGGCATTTTGGCTGTCGCAATTTTTGTCGGGATTATTGCTGACGGGATTTTGGGTGTCATGATTTTAGCATGTCGGGATTTAGACGGTCGCGATTATGGCTGTCGGGATTTTGCCCGTTTGAATTATGTCTGTCGGGATTTGGGCTTTCCCAATTTGGGTTGTCAGTTCCGCTCGGTATTTTAGCATGTCGGGATTATGTCTGTCGGTATTTTGGCATTACGCACCCTTGAGCAGTCGGCGACGACAAACCCGGGCGGATACGGTAGATAGGAGGTGGCGACACTGCGGTGGCTCTTCAGCGCGATTTGAACGTAGTTGATGCCCACAAAGCTAAAAAGTTAATTTTTGTCAAAAGCTCTTTGAATTTGTGGATTACGGGCCGCGGTTGCCGCCCTGGCCGGCTGACCGCATCTGCGGCGTCTCGACCTTTGGCGGGAAGAACAGCTGAAATATTCCAATTTTCACTTAAGGATTTGTTTTCAAAAAATTCTTTGTTGCAATTTTTTTGAAAAAGGCTCATTTTAAGCGTCGAAAATCACAATGTTTCGGGATTTAGATAAGCGAATTTCCCAGAAAAAAATCCAAAATTTTGCCTATCCAATTTCGACATTATGTTTTTGGACATCATTAAATGGATATTAGCATAATATTTAGTAGGTTACGAGTGTTTTTAGTTCTTTCAAGTGAAAATTATCTAAAAAAACTATTAAAAAATTCTATCTGGAATTTTATGCGAGAATCTAATTGTAATTTTTCACCAAAAATTTTTTCGAGTTTTTATGATTTACTAGATCTATTATACCGAAAATAATTATAATTAATTCGTGGGTTAATTATCATCAAATCCAGCGAAAAGCGGAAAATTCGCCGAACCTGCAGCCGATCCTGAATTTGCCGCACGACCACCCGCAGGTTCTTGACGGTGTAACCATGGCGCTCGTACACATCCTAAAATTCTTTTCAAAAATTAAAGTTAAACTTTGAGATGTATTAAAGTAATTTTAAATGGTTATCCAATAATTTCCGCTAAAATCTTAAACCAAAAATTGCAAAAAAGGTTATTTGAAAATTCAAAAAACTTAAATTTCCTGCGAAAAATTCCGTGTTTCAAAAAACTTTGAGGCTCGAGGTGCTTGCCGACGGGCAATCTTCAGGCACCACTCGTGCAGCCTTGCCACTGCTCATTTCGTAGTTTCGGTTTATTTATTGCGATACATTTTTTCACTTCTTATGCATTGTCGGAGGTGATCCATTTTCCATATAGGTGCACAACGATCGTTTCATGTAACGTAAAAATATTTTGAAATTCAAGTAGAAAGGGAATATAATTTTTAGTCAAAATGCACCAGAAGTCACTGGCAAAGACCTAAAATTTTTTTAATTGTCAAAACTTTTTGAATATCTTTGATAACTTTTTAATAATGAAAAATTACTCAAACTTTCGTCAAAATCGTCAACAGGTCGAAAAGGTATAGGCGAAAACTGCTTTTCTCCCTGCTAACCCCCGCCCCCCCGCTAACAGTCCAGTACCGCATTTTTGATGATTTTAACATCGCGGACACGGTCAACCTCTCGGCCGTAAAAAGGTTCAAAAATGTTTCAAAAGCATACCACAGGAATGACAAAAACCTTGACACCGCGGCAGTCCTTCTTATCCCGAGACAGCATATGGAAGCTCTCGTGGTTGACTTCATACTTGCGCACCAGGGCTGATGCCTGGAAAAATAAATGTTCTTTCTCATTATCGACGGCGGGGGTTGGAAATTCGGGGTATATGTCGGTTATGCGGGGGGGACAATTTTACGCGGGGGGGACGGGACAGGCGGGTCTTTTTGGATGTTTTCGTTATTTTCTCGGAATTTTTGCAACGGCATTCGATAGAGCATCGAAAAATATACTAAGAGTTTTTGTTTTAGCTCAAATTAGTGTAATATAAAAAAGTTATGGCAAATACAAAAATAAGCTTTCAAAATCGGGTCAAGCGGCTGTTTTTCGAAATTCGCGCTATTTTTTCGACATTTTAAAGATGCCATTCGATAGAGCATCCAAAAATATACTAAGAGTTTTAATTTTAGCTCAAAATAATGTAATATAAAATAGTTATAACAAAAACAAGTATTAAACGTTGTTTCCATGGAGGACATAGAAAGAAATCAAGTTTTCGACATTTTCGACATTTTTACAAAATTTCTTTAGTGCCATTCGACAAAGCGTCTAAAAATATACTAAGAGTTTTCTTTGTAGCAAAAAGAAACGCAAAAAATAGTTAGCTCGGCCCCAACAGTCCGTCCCCCCCGCGTAAAATTTTCCCCCCCGCGTAGCCGACATATACCGAAATTCGGCTTTTCTGCTGGAAGATTTATATTTTGTATTTTTTCTAAATAAAAATGCCCTGAACGTGCCCTTTTAGTGCAGCTTCCCCCCCCCCATCCCACCTACCGTATCTCGGCTCCCTGTTCATCTACAAGTGCGTAAAGTATACCCAAATACTCGACAGAGAAAGACGAGCATTTTGTTATACTTTACACACCTGTAGATGAACAGGGAGCCGAGATACGGTAGGTGGGTGCCGCCTGGGGGGGTAAACTGAACTCTAACCGAAAATACTATCATAGACCATAGACCATGGAATTACTAAGAACATTTGCTTCCCCCCCGCTAACAGTCCAGCACCAAAATTTGTCCGAATTTTTGCAATAAACCTCAAGGATGGAAGTACATATAAAAATTCACCGTCTCAATGGCCTTGAGCGAAGCCTCGTAGTAGAAACAGCCCGTCGTCACTCCCGCCACTGGAAAAAGCGTTTTTTTTATTTCAACGGCCCTTTAAAACACAACTGGAAATTAATGGGATTTACCAGTGATATTAGCCGGCTTCTTCTCATTTTCGTCGAGCGGCAGGATGCATTGTTGGTAGTCTACTTTCTCAAATAATAAAAAAAATTACTTGAAAAGATTATATGAATGATAAATCTTAAAATCCTCCGATTTAGTGGTTCCTTGGCATTATCGAGCGAGTGAATTTTTCCTACAACGCGAGAAAGTGTAACTCAACAGTAAGTATTGTAATAGACAAAAATTCCTCTTCCTCTTCCTCTTCCTCCTCGACTTCCTCGAAAAATTTTGAAATTTTATGAATTTTCGAAACATATGAATCTTGCTTGCCAAGATCTTTTTTTGAAAAAAAACTGCTTTGCAGGTTCTTTGCTTTAGCAGGTTTAAACGAGGTTTAAACGAAAAAGGGTCGTAGTTTCCTATTCCTTAAAGTAACAATAGCAACTGTCACCAACCTCGGCCATCTCGGACATCTTCTTCGGCGCGACCTGGCCAAAAATGGCCGCCAAAAGCAGGAGCAGCAGCAGCCGCATCAAAATCCCTCGGCAGTGAAATGAGCGTGTTTCGATATGTTTCTATGCTAATTTTTAGACGGAAGCGAGAAAATGAAAAACGGCCGCATACGGGGTCGCCCGAAAAACACCTCCTTGAACTCGACGGAGAAGTACCGGACCGGAATGGTAGTTATGCCATCTGACTCCCCCCGGCGCATTTGTAATCCATTTCAATATCCTCTTTTTATTTAAACGTGTCATTTTATAAGCTATTTAAACATCTGGAAGCATGGTTATTCATCTGATGAACGGCTTTTCGAACCTTTTATCGTCATTGCGTCTTCTTAACCACATTAAAAAATTAGAACTGTGGCTCGACGACTACCGCAATTTTGAAACAAGCAACAAAAATTAAAAAACATGAATAAAAAATAGATCCTACTATATATAAAAAAATAGTGTCTGTGTGTGTGTGTGTGTGTGTGTGTGTGTGTGTGTGTGTGTGTGTGTGTGTGTGTGTGTGTGTGTGTGTGTGCATTTGCATGCAACTTCCGTCACCGTGTTTCAGCAGTATCTCAAGAAGGGAAGTACTTAGGGGTATGTTCGATACGTCATTAGGTGCGTAATGGGCTGGAGATGACTGCACGCATATCGGATTTTGTAAAATATGTTGTTTTCGACATTAAAATTAAGTTTTTCTTAAAAATTCCGACACACACTTTGTTAGGATAAAATTAGCATACGCCGGAAGTTGCAGTAGCCTATATAAGGGCCCAAAGGGAGCGTTTTGATTTTTTGTCATCGGAATTGGGGCACAATTATGCAAAACGAAGAACATCATTGGGTTAGACGGGGCCAGGGTTGAAAAGTCGCGAAGCGGCTTTTCAACCCTGGTTTAAAAAATAATGTTTCAAACCTCGGTGATAAGTTGCAAAAATTATAGCACCCTGATATTTAACGGTGATTAGGGGCATTAGATTGCAAAGCGTCTGGGTAACTCTACATAGAGGTTTCTTTACTTTTCTTTTTAAAAAATCTATGTTTCATTTTTCCTGGACTAGCTAAAATCGTTATTTTAATTTAATTTTTCGAATTATTTTCTTCGTTTACTGTTTTAATTTTTCTCGAATAATTTGGTTTATGCTTAATTAAATAAACCGGTACTCGATAAATCACTTTATTCTCGGGAAAAAATTTCGCAGCCTATTCCATCACACCAAAAAAAGAAGAAAGCGGAGGGGTGAGAGAGCAGAGAGGGAGAGAGAGAGGGGGGGGAGAGATGGCCAAAGGGGGGCTAGAGACAACAGAGAATAGGGAGGGGGCAGAGATGGAGAGTGAGTGATGGTATGGTGGCTGCTGCTCATGCTCAATCAGCTCTTCCTCCCCTCTTGAACGGGGAACGGCGACTCCTTCTCGCTCAGCGTATTCCCGCCGCTGTCCTTGTTTTGGGGGCGCGGGAATGAATTCTGCAAAAATATTGAAATTCTATGACAATTCTGAAAAACTTTGTGATTAAAAAATCTAGAATAAAGTAACCAAATTCCTGGTACTGGACTGCTAGCAGGGGGGGGGGGCTTAACCGTGAAAAATAATTTTTCCCTCACGGTCCTATAGCAAAAAAAACCATCTTTCCAACTTTTTGCACCATTTTTTAGATGTAAAATCTCATGACAAAAACATAAACATTTTGGAACATTTTAACTTTTTGGTGAAAAATGCATGAAAAAATGATCAGAAGATCAAAACTTTCGAATGCAATGTCTAAAATATTTTTTGTAACTTTCTAGCAATAAAGAAATACTAAAAAACAACAAAATCCCATTATTAATTGTTAAATCTTGTTACATTGTTTTGGAAAAAATTTGTAAACTTAGAAGCTTAAAAAAATGTAATTGCCGTGAAATAAACTATCAAATTTAAGGCACAGATTCCGCACCCTTCCACCGGCCGCATCGGCGCCGTCGTAGTCGACGGTGTTCGGCGTGATCGAGCCGTGGCTGTGGCTGCGTTTGCGCTGCAACAAAATAGTGAGGCCCAACCCCAAAACGGCTGACCTCGGGGTACACATAGGATAACGGGGGGGGGAAAAAATAACGGGGGGGCACTCAAACTTTTTATATGATAAAAGTATTTTTAAATGCCTTTTCGGGCTGTAAAAAAAACTCTTAGTATATTTTTCGGTCCTCTATCGAATGGCATTTTCAAAATTTCGAAAATATTCAAAACGCCGAAAATTTTTTTCCCCCCCTGTTATCCTATGTGCTGCCCATAGTTTTCAAAAATATTTTTTAGGCTATAAAACTTTTATAATACATTTTTTCGCGTTGTAAAAAAATCTCTTAGTATATTTTTTGATGTTCTATCGATTCGCGTTTTCAAAATATCGAAAATCTCAAAAATTTGGCTTTCCCCCCCCGTTATCCTATGTGCTGCCCATGGATTTTGATCAATTTTTGTTTATTCGATAAAAAATTTCATTTACATTATTTTGGGCTGAAATTAATTTTCCTAGGGCAGTTTTCGACGCTTTATCGAATGACGTTTTCAAAATACCGAAAATGTCGAAAATTTCGAAAATTTGACTTTCCCCCCCGTTATCCTATGTGCTGCCCATAGATTTTCCTCACTTTTTGTTTATTCAATAAAAAATTTCTATTACATTATTTCGGGCTGAAATTAATTCTCTTAGTATATTTTTCGACGCTCTATCGAATGGCACTCGCAAAATCCCTCAGTAATTGCAAATTTCATAATAATGAGTGCCCCCCCGTTATTTTATTCCCCCCCCCGTTATCCTATGTGTACCGACCTCGGCGCGGCTGCTGTGGCGCGTGCCGCGACGCCGGCGGATCATCTCGATCAGCTGCGGGATGTGGCGGACGATGGTGAACAGGATGAAGAAGCAGGCGAACGAGATGTACACTAAAATATAGAGGATTTCATTTTTCTCGTCATTTTTCTTTCGTCTCAACATTTCTTCTTAGGAGCGAATTTTTCAAGTGTTGCTCAATTTCTAAAAGTAAGCACTTTATAAATTTTTATTAAAAAATACAAAAAAATTTGAGCCCAAAATTTCGACATTTTGAAAGTTTTTTTAAAGTTCTTAGATAGTTTTTCTAGTTGAAAAATAGTTTTATTTTACTCACGTTATTAAAATACTTCCAATGAAGTAATTTAAAAGTATTTTAAAAACTAATTCTCATGAATAAATTGAAAAAAAGGATTTTTCGATCAAAATTCCGACTCGCTTAATTTTTTTAAATATTTTTTAGCTGAAGCATAGTTTTAATTTAAGAAAGCATTATTAAAACACTGGTTATTAAGTTACTAGGCATTTCTAGAGTTAGACAACAAAGTTCGCCCCCCCCGATAATGCAAAAGCACCAAACGCCCGTACCGATGCGGACGTTGTTCTCCCGTTTATTGCCCTCCGGCATCGACTTCTTCGGGAACCTCAAAAATAAGTGTTGCGCGTTTTTTTCAAGGCGATCCCCTCACATCGAGTCGAGCGGTCGGCGGGCCATCGACAGACTGATAAACTCGAGGCCGGAGAACCAGACGTTGTCCACAAAGTTCGGCACGCCGAAGAACGAGTCGCAGCCGCGTTCCTATGTACAAACAAACTAGAAACCTTAAGCTAGAAAAAACTTTGTGTCTAATCGCACATTGAAGTCGGCTGATTTTACGGATTCGGAAAAAAACTTTGAAACACGAAAATTCCACGTCCACTTTGGTAAAGGATTCGAAAAATTGTTAAAATAGCGGTTCTCAAAAGCTATGTATAATCCTATTAAATTTCGCGAGGAGCGAACTTTTTTTCTCTATTTCAACCCAATTTTTCTCACTATTTTTAGTATTCCGAAGCGTAAAACTACAAATTTGTGGTGAAAAACTACAAAAATATCGCTTTTCGACAAAAAAATCGTCAATTTCGAGTAAAATTCCGGATGTCGAGTCCGGGTCCGATATTTAGATAATTTTTGAAAGTTTACAACACGCTGCAGGATGACGGTCTCGTTGTGGACGGCCGCGTACTCGTGCGTCAGCGAGAACGGGCTGAAGTAGGCCGGCAACGGCTGCACGTTCACCCTAAAGTTGATGGTTCACTATTTAAACGGCTTTTCAAGTTTATTACATTGTTCAGCATCAAAGGCTAGCTAGCAGCTAGCTGAGACCATTCTGAAGCAACTTACACCTTCAACTTGGGTTCCTGGACCAATATCTCGTAAAAGTCCATGGCGCGCAGACTGTTCGCCGCCCACGACACGTCGTTCTTGTTCGACGCGTAGATGTACGTGCGCTGAAATCAACGTTTGATTATTAACAAAAAAATTGTCTTCTGAAAACTGCCATTTTTTGAAACCACTTTTTTCAGATCTTGCAAAAAATACTACCAAAATCGGGATGTTTCGCGTCATCGGGGAGACCAACTGTTTTTCTTAGGTACTAATTTTTCAAATATGAAAGCGGAAGTGTTTCTAAATGGTTTTTTACTATTTTTAAACGTGACAACTTTACAAAATCTTGTTAATAAATGTCCAAAATATCGATTTTTCGACAAAAATGTCGACTTGACATTTTTTGATGGTTTCTGATGGAGTTCTAGCCGAAATATAGTTGTATTTTCCAAAAAAACACTATTAAAACCCCTTCTATTAAGTCACTAGACATTTCTATAATTATACAAAAGTTCGCATTGCGCAAGAGACGAAAAAAGTTAAAACCTGATACCGAATTTAAAATTTAAAAACATGATTAGCGTCTCAAAACAACAAATAAACACGGACGAAATACAAAAAATTAAACAGCATTTAAAGCTGATCAGGAAATTTCGATAAAAACGGCTACCCCGTGCTTGACGAGGGTGTTCGCGGTGGCGGAGTACTTGTTCGGGAACAGGTCGGGCGGCATCATGAACATGTGGCGCAGCTAAAAAAGAAAATTCTACGAATAAAAAAAATTTGGTTTTAACAACAGAATGACCCACATAAGCTCTGGCCTCGCCGGTGATGCTGTTGAACTCGATGTGCACCTGGTAGAGGTAGATGTCCTCCTTGTCGCGCACCAGCGCCAACAGCGTCTCGCGAATCTTAAATGGCCATCAAAAAAACGATACAAATAAAGAAAATACCTCAAATTTAATTAATCCATCTTAAAGCAACGCTAGAAACTATCTGGGGAGCTTAGAAAAAACGAAAAAGATTAGCAGAAATGGGCACCTGGAAAATATCGGTGATGGACAGCTTGGAAGTGAAGCACTTTTTCTCGTGGATCGCTTTCTGAAAAGCCAGCAATTCACGTCAATTCCAATGTATCGAGTACTATAACCGATTTCCTATGGTATCTGCCAAAATGTCGAAATTCAGAACGTCGAAATTTACCATAAGCCAATTGCCCGGAAAATCACCTGAATCCCATGCAAAAAATTGTCGACATCCTGAATTTCGACATGATGAAATTTCAGCATTATGAATTTCTACATACTTTTCGACTTTTTGATAGCCAAAGAGCGCATAATCGGCTATAAAATGGCGAAAATAAATAACTTGCAAAAAATTGAAAAATTTCGACTTTTTTATCATTGTTCGAAAAAAAACTAGATTTTTCGATCTAAACAATATTTTACTTTTTGCCATTTCAAAATCGAATCACTAAAAGCATCTTACAAGAAAAATCCATTTTATAGAAAAAATTCCAAAAAAAATTACTCTTGAACAATCACGGAATCTCCGGCTCCACCACGTCGTCGTCGGCGGCCACATGAGCTCGTCGGTAAAAATGGCGCGGTACATCTTCAGCTGCAGCTGCACGTATTTGATGTCGGCGAAGCTGAAAATAGGCAGTTTTCTGCTGTATAAACGGAGCTTACGGGCTGTGATGGTCACTTTGTGGCGCGTGCTTGATTAGGTCTGTTTCGACCTTTGGTGGGAAGTACAGCTGAAAATTACACGTAAAATCTTTTCAAATTTTTATTGAAAATCACAAAAAAATTTTGCTTAAAACGCTGGCCAAACAATTTCTTCTAAGTTTTTGTTCTTCCACTTGAAATACAATCAAATTTGGCAAGGAACACTATTAAAATATACTTGCTAAAAACCACATAAAAGGTGTATTTCTCCGCTAAAATCCCCCCCCCCCGCGGTAAGAGTCTAGAAACCGCCCCCCCCCCCCAGCCGGCACCAACTTTTGTATCTCGGCCCCCCTTTGTGCTAGCGAGCTATAAAGTATACCAAAATGTTCGCCGTAGGCTAATTAGTAAGACTACATTGCAGTTCAGTCGAAAAAGGTAGCGAAAAATAAAAATAAGGAAGGTAGAAAAGTTGAAAAGTCGGCTGGGGGGGGGTTTTCTAGACTTTAGCCCCCCGCTACCGGCCCAGCACCAGAAAAGTCCTTGGAGGACAATCCTCAAACCTGCAGCTTGTCCTCGATGATGCGGATGGCGATGCGGAAGTGCTTGTTCTCGTAGCCGTGCGGGAATCGGACGCGCTAGCAAAATCCGGCTTTTTAGCGGCCAGAAAAAGCTCGCATACCACATTTACTGGGAACACCTTGATGCCGCGGCAATCTTTGCCCATGTGCATGTACTGGAAGCGCGTCTCGCCGAAGCCGAGCTTTTGCAGCATCGTTGAGGCCTAAATTCATATATAACTTTACTCGCTTTAGCATCTCTCATTCCCTTTTCACTAGCATCCCTTTCACTCTCACGCTCATTCTCTTTCTCTCTCTCTATCGCATTCTCGCTCGCTCTCTCTCTCTCTTCTCTGTCTCTCTCTCGCTAGCATTTTTTAAACCTTTTATACCTCCTCAACCGAACTCAACGGCGCCTCATAGTATTGACAGCCTGCCGTCAGCCCGATCACTAAAAAGATTAGTTTTTAAACGCTGAGTTTATTTCTTTAAAATTTGAAAAAGGCGTTTTGACGAATTTTAACGATTTAAAAGGCCTTCCGCCGGTCACTCGAACTGTTCCCATTATGGCTTGGCACAGTTTTTTTCGACGCTATTTTTATGATGTCATCTGAAAGAGCGTGGCCGAATTAGTAGGGTGGCATTGTTTTGAAAGTTTAAAAAGTTGATTTTTGGGGTTTAAAGGGCCGTTAAAGTTGCCGACATCGAAAACCTATCTCGAAAATTACTGGACCAAACTTGCTGAAAGTTTGTGACAATACCTAATTTGGGATGGAGATCATTTCCCTAATACATTTCAAAACTTGAAAATGGCCGGAACATAGGAATCTCGCGTACTAAAAACAGTTTTTTAAGATTTTCTATTTAATGGGAAATTGGCGGCATCCTGAAAGTAACATAGAAAGATGCGCCAATTTTTTTACATGGTATGATGTGTCTTTTAGGATGCCGCCGTTTTCCCATCATCTAGAAAAGTCGTGATCTCTGGAATGAACAAAAGTGGCCTTAGAAGATCGGGGGCTGCGAATGAGAAATATAACGGATTGCGGAAAGCATCTAAAGATCAATGCCACCCATTATCAAAAAAGAGCAAAATGAAATTCCTCAGCTACGAGAAGTTGAGTACGGAGGGGAATCGAACCCGCGATGGTCCACCTGGGGGGATCTGGGGGACAGAGGCTAGAGGGTGCCGCCACCTCCCAGGCGAACGACCCGAGTTCAATCCCAGCCCCCTTTTAGAAACCGAATTTCTTTTTGCTCTTTTTTGCAATTGACTTGGCTGCGCTTCTAGAAGCAAGTGGGTGACTCCCCGTTTGAAAACCTCGATATTTTTCTTTTTTTTCATCAAGAAAATGCCGTTTTTACGGATGATGGGAAAACGGCGGCATCCTAAAAGACACATCATACCATGTAAAAAAAATTGGCGCATCTTTCTATGTTACTTTCAGGATGCCGCCAATTTCCCATTAAATAGAAAATCTTAAAAAACTGTTTTTAGTACGCGAGATTCCTATGTTCCGGCCATTTTCAAGTTTTGAAATGTATTAGGTAAATGATCTCCATTTCAAATTAGGTATTGTCACAAATTTTCAGCAAGTTTGGTCCAGTAACTTTCGAGATAGGTTTTCGATGTCGGCAACTTTAACGGCCCTTTAAACCCCAAAAATAAACTTTTTAAACTTTCAAAACTATATGGCCCCACTAATTCGATCATGCTCTATCCCATGGCATCAAAAAAACAGGGTCGAAAAAACTGTGCCAAGCCTATTTCGGTCCTGCCGCAAACGGCCTTTTAATTCTCAACTAAAAAAAACAGCGTTAAACCTGTAATATTCGCCGATGCCGCCAAATTCTCGTGCACGCCGAGGATACACTTTTGGTAGTCGTCTTTCTACAAAAAAGGCGCACGGATGAAAACAAGATCTGATTACTCACCTCGGCCAATTGGGACATCAATTTCGCTCCGGCATAGCCGAGGAGAAGCCAGGGGAGAAGCTGGCCGAGCAGCATGGCGGCCGGGAAATGAGTGCCCAAGGAAAATGCTCGACTGCCCTCACATCTTTCGAATCTAAATTCTAAACTCTGAATGCAGATGTAAACGATTTTCAACAAGTCCCAGTTTTCGGACCATAGTGTAGCGCAAGCTTCACGAAGCCTCCCAATCGTCTTTCGTCAAAATCTTAGGCTTTCAATTGCGTATTTATCGCTCAATTAGCACTCATCAGTAGTCAAACCAGTCGAAAAGCAATCACAAACACAGACAACCAAGAGAATCAAATCAATGTCAACGGCCTGCCGGCCAATCAGTAGTCGTCGAATTCTTCGGGCGCTTCGCGGCGCGTCTGCTCGGCGATGCGCGCCTGATGGCGCTGGCGGATCTCCTCGAGGCGACGGCGACGCTGCGTGTCATCGTCAGCTGGAAATAAAAGTTAGAAAATTTTAAAATCCCTTTTGCACAAATAAGAAAAAATGGTTCCGGACTGTTAGCGGGGGGGCGGGCGACCAAATTTCTCCAGTAATTCCGTACGGCCCTGTTACCAGTCTATAGTATTTTAAAAAGCCTTTAGATCAAAAAGTTTCTAAAAATTCTGAATTTTTGGTCAAAAATGTATGAAAATGGTTGCAAACGGTTAAAATTTTCGAACTTTGAAACTTTAAATGTTTTTATAACGTTATAACAATCAAAACTACCAAAAGCAATGAAAAGACATTCGATATCACCAACAGGTGGCAAACAAAAATGGTTTTGCCGCCTGCTAAACCCCCTGCCCCCAGCTAACTCCAGTCCAGAACCGAAAAACCTTACAGAAGACTGGAACATTTTTAGAACAAAAAATTACCGGGCGCAATATACGACTGGGCGCCGTGCCCTCCATCTTGCCAATTCGGAAACTCGGAGAAAGCCTCAGCCATCCGGTCTGCCTGCGGGAACTCTTCCTCCTCCTCGGGCATGTCCACCATGTAACTAATGCTAAACATACATCCAGTCGCTTTCGAAAAATTTACCGCCTCCGCGAGGGGGTCATCGGCTTCTTCGGCGCCGCGTTGTCAAAGTTGCTGCGCGGGTAGGCGCTGAACTGGGGCGCTGGGGCGATCGAGGCGAGCTCTTCCGGGTAGGGCTTCTCTGCAAAAAGTCGGTTCAGAAAAAATTGGATTTAAAAGATGGGATTTCCGAGCGGAAGTCAATTTTCCAAGCTGTTATGGCGCAAAAACTACCATTTTCTTCCAAAAAAACACGAGAATGCCCATTTTTCTTGACCAAAATTTCAAACCACAATTTTTTCGCTTCTAAACCGTTTAGCCACTCCACACTATCAGAAACCTTCCATTCTTACCGGTGGAGAGGACGTGGTTCTTCAAGAAGTACTGCTTCGTGTCGACGCTGTACAGCTCATCGAGGCGAGGCGACAGCCCGTGTTGAACTTCTTGGGTGTAGACGAACTAAAGTCAGCGGAAAATTGGCAACAACAAAAAACCTCACCTTCTGCGTGACTGTGGCTCCTTTCTTGCCCCGATGGCGCTCATGGTGTGCAGCCAGGGGCGCTTCATGACGTGGCCTAGACGACGGGCGACGGTCCCGATCTCTCGGTCGATCACGGCTCGAATCCCGTCGATCGCGACTCGATCGGCCCGGCCTTGGCTCGGGGCCCTTCACGTCCACAATTATCTCGCCAAACGTACTAAACAAAGCTGGAGCGAAAAAGCGAAAAAGTTACTTGTTGAAAAGCAGCGGGTCCTCCTCGTATTTGCGCCTCATCTCCTCGACAAACTCGGACCACGGTTTCACCTAGGAAATTTGAGATCTGCAAGTGAAAACAAAATTTTTCAACCAAACCAACCACCAGGGGGAACCAATTTTTCTAAGAAATCGCATACGCCCCTATGAAGAAACACAGACCATTTTTAGAATTTTATACAGCGTTTAGATAAAGCTCAGGAAAAACTTCCATAATTTCAAAACTTCCAAAGGAAATTCGATAATTTTTCACTTTTTGGTGAAAAATGTATGAAAAATGATAAAAAACGTGAAAACCCGAATTTTCAAGAATTGCAAGATACTAGTGTAGCTCTTAGCAATCCAAAACCACTAAAAACCAATGATTAACAGGAATAGGCGGAAAAGCAAAAATCGGTTCCCCTGCTAACAATCCAATACCCAAAATATTACCCTTTTCCCAGATCGTCGGCAGCGCGGTGAAGCTTCATCGTCTGACGAGAATTCTTCCGAGGTGCCCGCCCGGGCTTTTCGTTGCAGTTCTAAATTCTTTTCCCCTTCAGATCCGAAAAGCAAAAGCGTACCATGGATCGCTGACCAAAGTTGCGCCATTTGATTGGCCCGCTCGGCGTCCCGTTCTTTCAAAAGCTTCACCTAACAAATCAAATTTCGTCAAAAATTGCCTCAAACCTCCTTTCTCAATTCCTCCACCTCAGCCTCGAGCCCGCCAGCCGATTTCGCCGAGGTTTTTGCCGTCGGCTTGAAGGGGTTTGGTGCTGCCTGGATCAAATCTCGGTCGCAAATAGTGAATTTTACCGTAAAAGCGGCCGGGGACTTGTTTTCCTTGTCGCTGACGGGCAGCGCGCCGACGGATTTGCTCATTTTCGGGACGACGGGCTGCTTAGTGCGTGCGAAACCTCGTTGTAAAACGGCGAGTTGCTTGCCCTAAAATGGCTTTAAAAACCGGAACAAATGATCTCACCTCGACGGTCTGCGATACGTTTGTCGTAGCGCCAAAAGCGATCGTCTTCGGGTGAGCGCTGGGGAGATCCTTTGGCGAGCCCTTGTTCTTTATTTGGTAGAGGCGCTTCTCGAATTCGACGGGCGCTTGTTTGGCTTTTAACGGGGCTGATTGTCTCGGCTCGCTAAAGAGAAAATATGGCCCTTCTTTGCAAGAAAGCAAAAATTCGTGCAAGCAACTGCAAAAGTTACACTGACCAGTGTAGCGTCTCAGTGTCGGACTCCTCGTCGATGGGGCTTTCAATGCAAATCGGAGACGCGAATCGGACCTCACTCTCTGGAAAAATAATTCCCAAAAAGGCTGAGAAACTTACTCTCTTTCACTTCAGCTACAACGGGAGGTTGAGCTGTTGCTTGGGGCCGAGAAGCAGTGAACGGCGAGTAGGCGGCTTCTAGAAAAATAGAAATTTTCATAGCAACCAGCTCAAATAGTATTCACCTTTTTCAAAATTCCAACATTTTGATTGCGACACAACATAATCTAAACAGACCTTGCCCGAGATAGCGATGTGCCGGTCGTGAGACGTCAAGCGACAGGGGCGAGTAGCAGGTGCGGGGTGGGTAATCGCCCATGCAAAGCCCTCTGTAATGGCAATTCAGTACTATTCAAGCTGGGAGGGAATATGGACGAAAACAAAGAAGCCAATGCCGAATAAATGCCCAATCGCAAAACGCAACCCTGTTTCCAAGGAGAAATTTTGAGTGCCGAACGAGTTTCCGTACGTGACCAAGCGCAGCTTGTGCAGAACTTTGCAATGATTCCGAATATGGTTTCAAAATCTGCCAAACTATCAGATGCATGAAGTCATGAGGAAAAAAGACAAGAAAAATTGCCGGAACTGGGCCAGTTCGAACTTCTCTTGCACTTCAAACTTTCGTAACTTTTTGAATCTGCTCCTTTTGAAACCAGCTTCTGAAGCAGCGAAAAATGGGTTTGGTCCCATACGTAAACTCAGTTGTCACTAAAAACGTCTCCTTGTTAGCTTCGTTTGCGAAGCTGCGCATTTTATGATGGAGGGCGTCTAACCAGCAAGATTAAGCTAGCGAAGCCAAGCAAAAGTCTTGTGCAAATTCCTTTCCAACTTGAAAACGTCCAACAAATCCATCATTTGATCGAGCACAACAATAAACTCAGAAATTAGCGACTGCCAGGGTGCGAGTACCCGTATCGTGTGCTTGGAGGCTTTTCGCAAGAAATGTAGTACCATTCATTTTTTAATGAAATCAACCGATTAGCAAGTCGGGAAAGGGGAGTTGTTACAGGGGCATCGAGAAATGGCGAATAGGACGCGGGGCCCAATCATCATAAGCAAACATTTATCCGTGGAGATCGGGGGTGGGGAAAGAGAGAGCAAGAAGGGTAGAGGCAACGAAAATAGCTAGAGGGGGTGCCGGGGATCATTGGATGTTAGTTGAGGGATGGGTTGGGCAAGGTGGTAGGATGAGTTGGGACATCAGAAAGAGCAAGCAAGTAGAAGAACAGTAGTGGAGTGAAATCGGGAAATAGAAGAAGAAGAGGTTAGATGGGAAGGTGAAATCAGTCATTCAAACGGTGCCTAAAACTGGGATTTGTACACATCAGATGTGGCGGCGTGGTGCATAGCAGTGGCTGGTGGGGGTACTCGTATAGACACAAATATTTGGCGTTACGACGGCGAATTTGGGTACCTAGAAGAAGGTAGTGGACAGAGAACAGACACACCCGCTATAAACGAGTAATCAACGAAAAAGGGATATGTACAAAGAAATAGACACACAATTGAAGCATCGGGGGAGTGTGAGTATGGGGGTCAGGGTGGGATAAAGCGGGCTAGATGGGGGCTACCTGGCAAATAGGACCGGGCGGACGAGCGCTTTTCAAAGGTTTTCGGCGAGTCCCACTTGCCAGATCGCCCTAGGGGCCGGAAAGCAACAAAACGGCATACACTAAAATAATCCATCTAGCAATAGGGGAGACGGGTGGTGGTGATCCGTGCGTTGGTGGGCGCCGTCAGGGTGTTGTCGTGTTGTGGCGCGATCGTGTCCGGCTTTTGCTGTCCTCGTCGCACGAGTCCGGGAAGACCATCGGCGGAGGGCGCAGCGGGGTGTGCGTTGAGCGGCGATGGGGCTCGGCCTGAAATAAATTGATACAAATGTTTCAAAATAAGGGCCCAAATAGGTTAGGCCGGACGATTGGCGCAGAAACACGTTTTTTCATGTATTTTTGCCCACTCACAAATGTATGAGTGTGAATTTTGCTTCTTCAACTAAAAACTACAAGCCGAAAGCAATCACAACACCCAGAAAAACCTTTCCGTATGATTTTTGTAATTAGTTATTAGTTATTGACCAAAATGGCTAAATGGCCAATAGCAATTTTTGGCCCAGCTAAATATTCTGCTGTCTAAGCCGAAACCGAACGCAGCGTAAAGTCCAAAATTTCAAGACTCTTTACCGGTGTTGTCGGCATCGGAGCGGGCACCTCATCAGCCGTGACGGCGATCACGCGGCGAGTCGGGCGCTGCGGCGGGCGCTTGGCCTTCTGACGACCGCGGCGGTGTTCCTTGTTCTTGCGCAGTTCGTCGGCGTGCTCCGGGGCATGCATCCGCGTGTAGCCTTGTGGCACGCACAGCGTCTAAAATAACAGAAATAAAACTACCATGCAAATTCTAGCAAAGCGAAAAGCCATTCTTTCCAAAACTCACCAGCATGTCATTCTTCTCCTTGTTGGCAAACTCCCAGAGCGCCTTGTAGCCGCAGGCGAGGACGTACATCTCCGGATAGTCGACGTGCGGGTAGAGATGAGAGTTCCGCATCCGGTCGAGCTTGCGAAGAGCATTGGCCCTGAAAAGAAAAAATAAAGCAAAGTCTCGGTACGAATTTAGGGGCCTCTCGCATTTTCTTGCAGTTAGAACAATTGGCAACAAATTCAAAATCCACATTCATCGAAAAAACTATTATTTTTTGTATGTTTCAATCAAAAAGGAAAAACTCACATCCTGGGTCCGCGTACTTCGGAAAATTCGCAGTAGAAGATCGGGATGCGCCGCCGCGAGTCTTGCAACTTGTTCGTGCACTCCGGGAAGAACAGATCCGTCAATTCCGAGTCCGAACACAGATTGATGGCGCCCTAAAAACCTGTTTCTGAACCAAGATAAACGACACTCACATCAATATGGCCAGCGCGGAACTCGTACTCGTAGCGACAGTCCACCAGGTTGTATCGTTCTCTGCAAAAGACAGCAAAAGAAAATGGCGCCACCACGTAAAAACCCACTTAAAGGCGGCGGCGCCCAGCCGGGAAAACTCGTGCCAAAGTGTCAAATTGCTGATCAGTCGAAAAGCTTGGGATGTCACTTTTTCCAGGCATGGCAATGAATAGTTCTCAAAAAGGCGCAGTTTAGGGGTGATGGGGAGAAGGTAGTACCACTTCTAGGTGCTGCGGCGACCATTCGTCATCTCCGTGTGTTGTTCGAAAGACGCCCTTCTCGACGGGTCCTGTTGACTGAGCACGAGCGTGCAGGGATCGCACGGAAGCAGACGAGATGTCTAAAAATCGGGATAAATTAAGGTTACTGGTTCACTAAAGGGGGGGGGGGGGCGGCTCTAACGTCTTCAATTCAGTAAAAACAGGAAGTTGACAATAATGACAAACCAAAATTACGGTTTGAAGTAATTTGTATTTCAAAAGCGCGCAAATGCTTTTAAAATTGCTCTATTAGCTAAGAGTGCGCCTAAGGTTAGATAGAACCCCCGCTAACGACCCAGTACTAAACTAAGAGACCACCAAGTAAAGGCTTCACCATGTTCTCCGTCCTCGTAGAGCACGCCGAGCGGCTGCATGTGGAGCTTCTTGGCCTGCGGCGAATGGGAAGACAACAACGAAGTGCGCTTCCGGGTGTTCATAACTGCAAAAGGGTGGGTGTGATCCAAGGGAGGAATGGTACCAGTTTCCAAGTCCGAGTGTATACGACGGATCGTCAAGCTGCTCGCTGTGCAGGGAGCCTCGTCGTCGCCGTGGTAGATGCGCACCGAGCAGCCGGGTGGCATGTTTTCCTTGTTGTCCTGAAAAAATAAGAATAAAAAGCGGGTCAGTTAGGCCTGAGCCAAACTATGCTAGCCCAAACATAAAGCCAAGATTTCCAAGTTCCGGTCCATCACAACGAGAAATTCGAGCCCAGAAAGCCAGGTGGTCGACGCACATCGTCAAGGAGTTCAATGTAATAGCTACCGAATAGATTGTGTCGTGGCTGTTGTTGTCATCTTGTTCAAACGGCGCTTCGGTGGCTGGCTTGACGCTATCCTGGACGGCTCCGGAGAAGTCAAGCGGGGGCGGTCGTGTCCGAATTGTGTCGCTTTTGGCCAGATCCGTGGCTAGCTGGAGGCCAAGTAACGAGTCGCAGCTGTTGCTCGATTCGGAGAATGAGCCATGGAGCATCTAAAACTTGGATATCAGAACAGTCGCCAAAAATCGTAAAAAAAAGACAAAGCCTCCTTACCAAGCGCATCGGTCGGAGGTCCTGTGAGCTGGAGCCGTTGGAGGATCGTGTGCTCTCGTCGTCGAGGGAGAGCGAGATGCCCGAGTCGTTGAAGCGGAGCTGCGGTTGGTCTTGCCGTCGAGCCTTAGATGCCGCTGTATTTTTACGGTTCATCCTGGAAAAAAGAATGGTTATATGGGAATTTAAAAGCCATTAAAGCCTGAATGAGGAGTTTAAGCGACTAACAAAATCCCCGCCGATTCCCTTTGCCTAGGCTAAGCCCACGCCATAAGCCAAGACTACGAAAAGTACGCCAAGTCTAAGCCTAAACTTGGGTCTCAAGAAGGATCCCCCAATATCAATAGCTCCAGTAAGCCCCCACGTAGAAGTAAACCAGATATTCTACAAAACCCTATAATCGCAGACAGCCGATTGCATTCGTAATTGTCCGGTCAAACCACTGATAAGGGCTACCCAAGTGCGGTATCACTTTCATGCCTTTTTGCCCGGAGGTCCAACCAAAACCCATGGTGAAAGTGGGGCAATTCAGAAATTGTAGTTCATACAAGCTTTCAAATACACCATGACCAAGCCAGAGATTGTTAAAGGCAGAGGGCCACGAGGAAGCAAGGACACAATGGCAGCAATGCTACGAGTTATGAATTATTGTTTGAAACTTCCATAGAAGATAAAAAATCGTCGAAAAATCAGCTAACCTAAATTTCCGATCCGCCCAATTCTCGAGCCCGAGCGCAGGGTGGTGGAAAATTCGAACGGGGCCCCGGGGAGGACCTTGGGGCCCAAGGTCAATTTGGGCGGCAGGGTCCTGCGGCATCAGCAACGCACATAGGAGCCCCACGTACACGAAAGCAACAAAAATGCGTAAAAAAAACTTGTAAAAAAGGGACCGTGCCATTTCCAAAAACCAATATCATCAAATGCTAGCAGTAGCTCTATAAACGAAATTTCAGCAGATCCAGTAAGAGAAACGGGAAAGACGGTCTAGCTGGGAAGGATACCCTTGATTTTTACACTTTCTAGAATAGACACCCTAGATTTCGTCAAGAAAATAAACCTTTAGGGCGTCACTACCAGGAAAAGCCAGATTTAGCGGGTAAACTGCGACGGGGGCGTCCTTTCTAGGCCGGCTAGAGGAAAGGCAGAATTGTTGGATTTTCGTTTTGTGGAAATTGGTGAAATTAGTACCGGTGTCGGCACGGTCCCGTTGCGCCCTGGCACGTTTCCGGATTACGGTAACGTTTAATGGCGTTATCCGGTCTTTTTGAGATTTTTAAATATCAGCTAAGCTTAGAAGGGGGCTTATTTGAGCTCTAATAAAGCTCAACTCGGGTGTTCTTCGAAGGTTTTGAGGTTTCAAGGTTTCAACTTTAATAATTAAAGAACACAGAAAGTTCTGTAGGTCTTGGTAGCTTTTAGTTAGGTTCTTTGCGGGTTGCGGCCATTTTTAAAGCCGCGCTTAGTCTCAATCTCAAAAGCTCTGCTTTCAGCTCTAATAAACCGGATTTCGGTAGCTAAAATCCTTTCGGTAGCTAAGCCCGAAAAACTCGGAACAGCCAATTGCTCGATCAAGGAGCAAAGAAAGTCTTAGCCAGGTATGTAAAACCCCGAAAAATAACAAAATTCAAACTCACGTCAGTTTTTTCAGTCGTTGCTTGCAGCGGTCAATGAGGGAGTTGAGGACGGGTGGGAGACAGCCCATTTTCCTGGTGTTGATCCTGGTTCGGCTTCGCTAGTGGGGGGTGCAGCGGCGGCCGGAAGAACGGTTTGGTGGTGTGCAGGGTGGGCGGGGGAAGGAGAAGCCGGGCTGGGGGCGAGCTGAAAACCAAAGCCTATTAGAACCGTAGAACGCTATTTTCCTTCGAAAATATGTTAATTTTCGCGCGAAAATGAATATACCGTACGCTAATTATAACTTGGTACCCGCTAAATAAAAAAAGAAAGATTTCGAGTTTAGAAAATTAAAACAAGAAAAACTTGCCTCTCAATGGGGGGATTATCGAAAATCTGATGGATTTTAGCGCGGCAAAAAGGCCGATCAAAGTTTCATTAGAAAAATGCAAATACGCGCATTTAAAATTATCATTAAAATTTTAAATTTAATAATATTTCTGGTTTTATATCTTTTCTTTTTCTTTTTTCAGATCTTTTTTGGTGCGAGCCCGGTGAACTTTCCCTGTCGTAACCGAATTGCACAACATTGGGCCGGCTGGCGAAAAGGGGGCGCACACCCCGATTATAAAGCCCGTTTCCGTCTAAAATGTTCCGGGTTTTGGCTAATTTTCTTGCCTTTTAGGCCTTCCACACGATTGAAAGCTTTTGGTGTGAAATGCTAAGTTATTCCAGGCGAAAAAGCGGCTGTTTCGAAATCTCGATGTTTTTACGTTGGGATTCTGCTATGCTCATTCTCATTTGCCGTGATGTAATTATATATTTTTTCAGAAACTTGAAGCATGGCTGACGGCGGTACAGCCGTTGATCCCGGAGGTAGCGGAGTAGCCGTTTCCGGTAAGCTTTATTTAGTAAAACTTATGAATTTATCTTTTCCAGGAACACAACAAAACCGAGGTGGCCGTCGTAGAGGCCCTCGAAGGGGCGGTGCAAATAACCAGACGCCAGGTTTGTTTGGTTTTTCAATTTTCACAACAAAACGTTGCTATATTCCCATCTCTATTTCATTTTTATGTTTAGTGGAAACCGCTGGTGATGAGCAGCAGCCCATCGCCCGTGGCACGGGCCGTCGTGGCCGTGGAGGTCAACGCCAGAATCAGGCAAATGATGGGCCCGCCCAGTCTCAAGGTCAGTTCTGAAAAGATTTTTGCCTGGAAATGACAAGTTTTAGGTGATACCCAGATGGAGAATCAAAATCCGGCCCGAGGATCGGCTCGACGAGGCCGGGGAGGCCGGCAAGCTGGACAAAATCCGCAAGCCCAAGGACAGCACCCCGTTTCCGAGTCGGAATCGGCAAATCGCGGTGAGCGTGGAGGCCGTGGAAATCAATGTAAGGGAATGACTCGTCTTTATGTTTTCAAAATACATTAGGATCGTATAAAAAAAGATTTTTGAGTCAAGGTTCATCATTACCTTTTCAGCTCGCCCGGCCAATCGTGGGAACCGCGGCGCCGGACCGGGCCGCGTGTACATACCTCGTCCTCCACCACTCTTTGATGAGTTTGAGCGCGGAGAACACGGTCCCCAGCAGGACTTCACGATTGGCCCCCTCAACCCGAATTCCTCGAGGGGTCGTCGCGGCTCGTTTTTCCAGGGCAACTGGCACCAGGGACAGATGGTGCAGCAGAGAAACGGTGAGTTTTGATTGTAGAGCCTTCCTAGAGCGCTTTTTCTTGTATCATCTCTGCAAAAAGTTGCTTTTTTAAATCGATACTAGCGAGTATAACTATTTTACAAAACGTGAATCGCGGAGCATTTTTCAGAATCGAGTTCTCTACCGAATGAGCTTTGTCTCGTGTTTTTCGTCTTTCGCGTCTGTCTCGAAGAAATTAATGCGTTTCAGAAAACCCCTAAATCGCAAAAAAAAATCCAAATTTTAGGCCCTAACCCATTCCACTTCGACCCCAGCGCCCCGGAATTTGTCCCCGGCCAACCTATGCGAGGACCCAAAACACCAAAGCACAACAAGCCCAGGAAGTATCCGCCGAGGGAGCGCGCTCCATCCCCGGAAATCCCAGATGCGCCGAATCAAGATCAACGAGGTCAGTGTTTTAATGAATTCCAGAAATTTCAATTTAGAAAAACTCATCTACCAGCTGCAACAGGAATCGCTGGACTGCACGATTTGCCTGAACAAAGTGCGCAAGCGTGATGTACGTTTTTAGTTTTATGTCCATGAATTTTGCTTCAGCGAATCTGGTCGTGCTCCACATGCTACAACATTTTCCACCTGCCCTGCATGCGCACCTGGGGCAACTCGACGGAGACGGCGATGTGGAAGTGCCCGCTCTGCCAGCTCGACTGCCCCCCAAATCCACCCTACAAGTGCTTTTGCGGCAAGGAGAAGAATCCGGAATTTTCGAGGTAAGAGTTTTTTCCACCTTCCACAAAAAAAGAGTTTTTTTAGTTTTTCGATAAAGTAAAAATTTTAGAAAATCCTTGGAGTGTTTGAAAGTTCACAAATTCGCTTTAAAAACATTTTCTGGCTTTCAGAGGCGAAATCCCACACAGCTGCGGCAAGCCCTGCCAGAAAGTGAAGGGCGTGAATTGTCCTCATCTCTGCACCGAGCCATGCCACCCTGGCCCGTGTCCGGAATGTCCGGTTGGTTTAGAAAACCGCAAAATTTTTATTGTTTCGTTTAGGCCACCGTCCTGAAGCCGTGCCTCTGCGGCAAGAAGCGGATTCCGGTGCGCTGCGGGGCAAAGTCGGCCCTGCGCATGGTGAGCGTAATTTTGTGCCTTGTCTGAAATTTTTTGATTTTATTTTTGCAATTTAAATAGTGAGTGTTTTTAAGCGGTTTTTTGCTGTTCATAAGCGTGAAAATCGACTTTCTGAAACAAATTCTGATTCAAAAATAGCAAAAATGCCGAATTTTCGATTTCGACCGAAATTGCTCGACTTATGACCAAAATTTCGACCTTTTCATATCTTTTTAAACTTTTTGATAGTTTTTCTAGTTAAACATAGTTTCTGATACTAAAACACTATTAAAAGGCTTCCAATTAAGTTGCTAGAAATTTCTAGACATACAAACCCCCCTCCCCCTTCTAAAAATTCTCGTTTTCAGTGCGCGCTGGTCTGCGAGAAGCCGCTTCCATGCGGCAAGCACAAATGCGCGAGGCCCTGTCACGACGGCGCTTGTAACGATTGCGAGCAAGAGGAGGAAAAAGGTACTGGCTTCACTATGCATTTTTCAAAACTGCGTTTTTAGTCTGTTGCTGCGGCAAGGAGACGAAAATGGTGCGCTGCGGGACGACCTTTTCGTGTGAGCAAGTTTGCGGGGGGATGCATAGCTGCGGTCTTCACACCTGCGTTCAGATGTGAGTTTGGTTTTTCGACTCTCGCCTCGCTTTATTATCCCAGCTCTTTTTGAATACTGACTTGCGGTATACAGAATGTTGAAAATTTAAAGAATTTAGGCTGGTTGCAAAATATCGAAATTCCGAAATCGCATATTTTCGACATCGGGATTAAAACCGTAATGCCGATGCCGTATATGCCGCATAATAGAAATAACAAAGTTGGCGCTTACCCTGATTTTTAGCTGCCATCCGCCGGTCATTGGCGCCGAAGCCGGTAAGACGTGCGGCCCCTGCCCGCAGAGCAACGAGAAGCTGAAAACGTGCCCCTGTTCGCAGACGCCGCTTGAGGTAAATTCGATTTTCTTTATAACAATAATTTTATTTTAGAAACTCGGCCGAACGAAGTGCGACGAGCCGGTGCCGACTTGCGGAAAGACGTGCAACAAGCAGCTGTTTTGTGGCAGTGGAGGTAGTTGTTTTTAAAATTTCTTTTATAGCGATTCACATTGCGACTTCTCCACCGGAATTATTTTTATTTTGCTATTTTTTCGATGTAATTTGGTTTTTGCAGTTTTTTATACTTATCAGTTTCAGTGATTTTATAGATAAAAGTTAATTTAATTTTGAAATATATGTTTTATCAATTTTTCCAGAACATCGCTGCCAATCCGCTTGCCACCAAGGCCCTTGCCCGCCTTGCCCGTTGAGCACCAGCGTGCCCTGTCGATGCGGCCGCAGTCGGCAAGAAGTCGATTGCGTCGAGTTCAACAGCAATTTCGGTAGCGTTTCGGCTTCTTTTGGTGGAAAGACCAATTTTCCAGAGCTCTACTCGACGCTGGAATGCGATAACATTTGCCCGAAGAAGCTGATGTGCGGCAAGCACGTTTGCCAGAAGAAGTGCTGCCCGTTGGACATGCACATTTGTGAGAAGGTATCAGAAACTTGGACTTCGACTTATTGCCTTTTTTCCAGGTGTGCCAAAAGAAGCTGACCTGCGGCAAGCACACCTGCTCAATGCTCTGCCATCGTGGCCCCTGCTTGCCGTGTACTGTAGTTTGTAGGTTTTTCAGATCGATTTTTCACTCTTTTGAAAGTTGATTTAGTTCTGATTTTTGAAGTTTTTAAAGCTCTGATTTCTTTAAATTGTAGTGGTAAATTTTTCAATGCGGTTTTTACCGGTTCTTAAATATCAGCCTGTTAAATTTTTAATAGAAAAATAAGACCTTTTTCTTTATCTCTATTTTAAATTTTACTAAAAAAATTTCTTGGATTTATCGAATTTTCAGCCTTCGACGATCTGCACTGTCGCTGCGGGGTGACCGTCTTGCCGGCGCCGATTCGGTGTGGTCGAGGCGTTCTACCGCCCTGTGATGCCATCTGCACGCGCCATCATCCCTGCGGCCACTACCCCAACCATACTTGCCACGAGGAGGCCGAGTGCCCGCCCTGCATCGAGCTCGTCTCCAAGGAGTGCGCCGGCGGTCATAGGGTAAGCGTGAAAATTCGGTTTATTCTCATTATTGCGAATGCTGGTGATACGAAGTTGAGTCATGCTCTGCTCAATTTCGTTTCCTATCGCGAGCGGACTCGAAATACCTAGTGCATTAATAGGAATGTTTTAATAGTGCTTTTGGCAAAAAATAACGATATTTGATTTGGAAAAACTATCTAAAAACTTGAAAAATTTTAAAAGGTCGGTATTTTAGGCAAAAATCGGCCATTTTTTGGTCAAAAAGCTATATTTTTAAGATTCTGTAAGTGATTCGAGCGATCGGTATTCTGTATATAAACCGAAAAATTAACGATATTCTATTATTTTTCATTTACTTTTCATTTTTTTAGCTGCTGCGCAACATCCGCTGCCACCTCGAGGACAACACGTGCGGGCTGATCTGCGACAAGCCGTTGCCGTGCGGCGCACACAGCTGCATCCGGAAGTGCCATGGCGGAGACTGTGTCCCGCCCGGTAGATGCCAACGCTCTTGCAACAAGCCTCGATCGACGTGCGAGCATGATTGCGGCCTGCCCTGCCACGGGAAGACCGACTGCCCGCCCAGCGTCTGCAGCAAGCCCGTCGAGGTGATCTGCCCGTGTGGTCGTCAGAAGGAGAAGCTGCCCTGTGATGTGGTGTCTAAGAATCTGGAGCGTCGCGCCGCACTTCGCCAACTTGACGCTGAAGAGGGTGGCAGCCAGGCGCTCCCGCCTCGGCTTTACCGATCGGCTAGTATGGATCGGTTGACGAGGTAATTTGGAGGAGATTTTTCTTTTTTTTGGACAAGTTTTTACTTATTCAAGTCGTATTTTGACAATATCGTACTCGTAACCGTAATCGTACCGAATCGCCAGTTTCTTTTAAAGTACCTTTTTATAGTCTCGACTGCGACGGGGAATGCGAGCGGTTGAGCCGGATTCGCGGAATGGCCGAGGGCTTGGAGATTGAGGTCGACGCAGAAGGAAATCAAGTTTCGGTGAGTATTTTTGGCAGAATTCGATTTATTTGACGCATCTATTTTTTTAATTGACCTATCTCTCGCGCAATTAGGTTTTTTTACCGACACAACAAAAAGTAATTTTTTTCAGTTTTGCGAAATGGCTAGTCAAATCAGAATATTGGAAAATTGCCCCTAGTTCACAATACGAAAACACCAAAGGACGTCAAAAAATTTCCAAAGTATCAGAGAAAATTCCAAATGTTTTTACAAAATCGCGACTTCCGAAAAATGATCGTCCGATTTTTTCGTTATCGCCTGATTTCCAGATCCCGTGCATCGTGTACCCCGAATTCCTGCGCGACGCGATGCGCATCGAGGGGCCATTCGTGGTGGCCGTCGAGGAGACGTTTAAGAAGTTGATCGAGAGCGTGGATAGGCTCGGCTACGAGCAGTCGCACAACTTCCCGCCGATGCACGCCCATCGCCGCCGCATAATCCACGAGTACGCGCGGCTGTACAGGATTTGTGAGTGATTTGATGTCCATTTCGAGTTTTGTTTTATAGGTACGGAAAGTGTCGATCGTGAGCCGAAGCGCAGCGTCATCGCCACGGCCAGGTAAACTTTTTATGGAGATTCCGGTGCTTTTGCATTATAGGGGGAGGGGAGGATCGAATTTGATCATATGCGCAATGAGGCAGGAATTTTTTTATTAATATTCTTGGTTAACTCTAGCCGTTTTTGAAAGGAAAGAAAAATTACGGCGATTTTGAAAATAGATCTTCAATTGCGAGATTTGAGACGAAAACGATAATTTAGGTAGAAAAATTTCTCTTTGTGTTCGATAAATGGGATTTTTTTCATTGTATATTTTCTAGACAAAACAGGCATGTTTTATGCTTTAAATATCAGCAAAAATTATATAAATTAATTTATAGTATAGATCTAGAAATCCCATTAAAAAAAATTCGCGCGGATTTTGGTTAAATTTTTCACATTTTTAGATTTTTATCCGTATATCTATTTTTTTAGAAAAGACGCAGCTGCGCCTCGCGTGACCCTGAGCGCCTTTGCGCAGCGCTTCCCCGCCGAGCTGAAAAAGACGGGCCCTCTCACCATTTGCAAGTAAGGTTTCGTCGCGTATTATTTTTTTGATTTTCATTCCTAATAATAATTATGACAATTTAATTTTTTATTAATTTTCAGGCGCAAGCTCGAGAAATTCTTCGAAATCGCCGCCGCGCAGCCGCCGGTCCCGCTCGAGCCCGGTCTACAGGCGGTCGGAAGCACTAAAAAGGTTAGTATTTTTATAGCATGAGAAATTTGATTTTTTTTTCAATTTTGAAACTGATGATATTTAATCATAAACTTCAAGCCTAAATACATTTTACAAGATTTGTCACTTCAGGCATTCCGTCGTCAGGCCCCTCAGCCGGTCTTCGCTGCCCCGCAGCCCACCCTGATCAGCAACCGCTTCGCGGCGATGGCGCTGTTCGACGACGATTATGGTGCAGAGTGGGTTTTTTGAGGATAGTCGTCAATAATGTGTCTTTAATTTTAGTGATTTTTTCTTTGTTGATTATTAGAGATTGTTGAGCAATCGATATTTTAACCTGTTTAATACTTTTAATAATTTTTAATTTTGAGAACCTTGGCTGTGCGCAACCAGGTTTTTCCAGTTTGAATAAAATGGCATAAAAACAACAAAACGTGAACCGTTTTATAGTAATTTACACCGTTTTTAGATGTTAAAAATCTCATAAAAACATCTCAATTTTCAAAGATTTCGACGTTTTACCCAGAGATTTACGAAAAATGACCAAAAATAAAATCAAAACTAAATTAGATCCCCCCACGCATTTCTGGCGCCTAGTGAGAATTTGAGGATAAACATTTCGAGGCAATTCCCACAATTTCAAATTCTTAGTTTTGGAAATTTTTGAAATATATTTTTTCAGGACTCACCAAGCCCAGCAGCCCCCGAAAATCGACTCCCCATCGACATCTACCGAATCGGAAGCCCCAGCTGAACAGCCAGAAGCCGAGCCCGAGGAGGATGATGATCCATCGACTTGGGAGGACCTCTAAAAACTCGTTGATTTTGTGGTGCCGTGTGCTCTTTTCGCTTTGCTCACTCGCCCTGATTTGACTTTTACTTGTTGTTGTACGATTTACGGGCATGTTTCTATTAAAGGGGGAAGTGTCGGGCGGGTTTTTAGCCGAGTTCCGGCCATAATACCGACAGCCAAAATCCAGGCAGAAAAATCCCGACTCGGCAAAATACCGACAAGAAGCCAGCTATTAGATTTCAATAAGGAGACGATGTTAATTTAATTTGAGACTGTTTTTATAGGATGAAATTAAATTATAGATTTTGTTAAAAGTCTATGTTTTTTAATCTTACTTTCGAACATAATTTGTAATTATGTAGGTTGTTTTTTTAACGGTATACATTTTTGGATCCTGACTGTCGGGATTCTCGCTTTTAGAATTTTAAATGTCGTCGGTATTTTGGCCTCTTCCCACCCTCAACCCCCGGCACGCTCCCTTTAATTTGTTTGTTCGTTTGATCGTTGTGTTGCCCCCTCACTTTCTTTGTTACATATAACTTTACAGCGGTTGTGATAGCTCAGAATAAAGCTTCAACGGGTCTGAAATGTTTTTTCTATTTTTTTGAAAGGCTTTTTCTAGCGCTAGATTTCGCGCAAGGCTTTTGATTATGCCGCTGCAAAATCAAATGACTTTTTCTAAATTTTAAAGCGCTTGTTCTAGCTTTAAATCTCGTGCAAAGCCACCGCGACCTTTGGGCTCGAAATGCTGCTGCGTGGATTTGGTCCGGGACCCCGGCGGCTTAACCAATTTGCCGATTTGGCCCGGTGCTTTGCGGAAGCTTTCAAATCAAACGCCAATCCGGTGACGAGCCTGCGAATTTTGGAATTTAGTTCCTACGAGAGTTTTATAGAAAAGAAGACTACTGGGGGGGGGATTATTACTGCGGTTCCGGGGCCAATAGGCGATGTTCCTGAAACATCTGGCCACAAAATTTTATAGTTTTTTAACCAGGGTTGAAAAACAGCTTCGCGGTTTTTCATGATTTTTTTTCTAAATTTCCGTAGATTAAACAGGTTTCACATTTTCGAGGCAGCGTATTTGGGGTATTTTTAATGATACCGAGTCGCTATGACTGCTTGCAAAAGTGACGCACCGAAAAATATTGGAGCTATTTAAGTTGAGTGACCCCAAGGGCGTCGAAAAAAATTTGTCGATCGGGGGTCCCCGATCGGCCTAGAAATCAATATTCTGGGGTAGTTTTGTGCGCTGAGTACGAATTTCATACTTTTAGACTACAAAAATTTAACTTTAGACTACAAACTACAAAAAAGCAAAAATCGTCAAAACGCGCGGAAAACACATTTCCGGGGCCGTTTTTTGCGCTGAATCCTATTCTTGTTCGGATTCGCGGCCAAATTGCATATTTTTTAAAGGCTACAATCATCTCACGGTCAATCACCAGATGAACTTTGTCGATCCGGTTACTGGCTCTCATACTCAATCTGTTGAGAGCCAATGGAACAGGTTCAAAAAGAGGATCAAGAAATCAAACGGCCTCAACACATCCACGAATGAGAGATACTGTGATTATCTCAGTGAATTCATGTGGCGCCAAGAATTTGCCGATCGCA